CCCGCAATGGGCTTTGCTAGAGCGGGAAGCATGGGAGGAGGAAGAGGAGGACAAGGAAGGCAGAAGGGAGTACAGGGGTTGAATGAGGACCACAAAAACACGACGGGGGCAACAACCTCATGACATTCACAACTAACTAATGATAGATTGCATCGGAGGGCTTACGCGACCTGGTGCACCACGGTTTCACTTTTACTAAATTTCACTCAGTACGAAGGACGCTGGCAATAGTAATACCAAAAGACAACAAAATAGATATTTTATTCGTGGAAGGAATACGGAAGCAGGGAGTATAGAACATGAGGTACCAAGGGACTACAAGAAGCTACAAAGGTTCATTTTTCAACATCTGACCAGCATCGACGTCTCCCGCATCATACAACTCATCGTCATTGCCAGTCAGATCAATGGATAAGGGCGCGACAGATCCGAACAAGGGGGGCAAGCTGGGCGAAGGGGGAGGAGGAGAAGGGGAGGTAGGAGACTCCTGCTCAGGCAGGAACAACGGGGTGCGAATAGGGGAACTAACCGACCGGGGTTCAACCATCGGTGCCACCCCCGCGTCGAAGGACTGTTCAGCACCTACTCTAACTCCCCCCGACGACTCGCCACCTGGGCCCACCGACGATATAGAAGTTGCAACATCTGGAGCAGGTAGCGGGGTATTGGTGATGTGGTGCATGTACTGCAACATTAATCGCTCCCAGTCCAGCGTCAATTGGTTGTCACTGGGGATCGCAGGAACTAGATCGTCCCACCGTCCAGCACCCTCTCGGTGAGGGAGAGCCGTTGACAAAGCTAACATACGGCGATGAAGGGGAGGTTCCAACGAGTCGGGAGGGGGGCTAGTGAATCTGGTGTGTTGAGCAGCAGTCAAAAAAGGATGATCACTGTCAAAACGGGAGTTCTCCAACATCAGGGTGTAAAGACCCTCGTCTTGGTCGACAGCGTTGTTAAAGAACCACTGGATGCTGCTAAGGGACCGTATGTGGAGGTCCCCATGAATACCACGCGCCGATTGCATATAATCCAAGGCCAGCCGGAAGTTGTGCGCCATAACGTCGGGATCCTCGGTTTCCAGAGCACGACGAAGGAAGGCAACGACCGCTTCAATGATCGCACCAATGTAATGGTTGTGATGGTGAAGTACGGTGGCAGGATCAGAGCGATAGAGGTGGTGGGTGAGAGTAGCAACACGACAAAGGTCCGCCCGAACCTTGACGAGGTCCCCTTCGAGTTGTGAGAGAGGAGGGAGGACCACCTCATAGTAGCCCTCGTCGGGATACTCTTTAATCATACGTTCGACGAAAGCAGCACGACCACGAGTGCGATGGACCTCCTCCTGAAGCTCCTCCAAACGAGCACGTTGACGAGTTGACAGGGCATTGCCCTCATCCGTAATACCGTGTTGATACAGCAGAGCAGTCGTCAACTCGGAAATCCTACGGAAGGAAGTGGAAAGCTTCCCCATTGCGTCATCCCAATCCTTCTTGGTGATACGAAGTTCTTCCTCCACTTGTTGGAAACGCTCTAGAAGACTCTGTAATAGGAAGGTTAGACAAACAATATCGTGAGGACTGTAGTCCTACGACTTACTTGGTCAGATGGTCCCGAAAGAGCCCTATCCAGGGTATTAAACTGGTCGACGATGCGACGATACTCCTCCTGGTGCTGGAGGAACTCTTGACTGGAGGACCTCAATTGCTCCACCTCCCGTTGTCGAGATTCGAGAGCATGCGAGGTATCCCGAAGAGCAGAGGTCAGGGAGGAATTCTCCCGCTGTGAATCAGCAAGCTGAGACTCCAGCAAACGAACCCGAGCAGCAAGACGCTGATTCTCAGCACGGTAAGGGTGAGAAGCGGGATTGCGGGGTACCAGGGCAGGACGGAGAATGGGAGGCATGGTTGAGGAGAGAAGATCCTGCCCTGCACCTTTTATGGGTGTTCAAGCAGGGGAGGAAGAACCGGCTTGCTGAACCAAACCAGGATGGACTTCCGCCGCAGCCGCCAATCGAACCAAATCACTGGGACCCTGCATCGGCAGGCCCCTGTGAAGTACCTCCATTAAGGAAGGGGATGAGTGAGGGCGAATGGGAGGAGAAGAGGAGGCTACGACGGGACGACTGGGAGGAACTACCAACCGGATGCGAAGAGGAGAACCTGGAATGGTCGCTGCCACAGGAGTCCTATGACGAGAACGCTTCTTGGGAGCATCCGAGAGGAGCCAGCCACAGGCAAAGGGGAGCGGTCGCGCTTACGCTTGGCTGTGACGACTGCCTCACCCTGTTGCAAGGCAAGGAACTCCCGTAGCTCCTGCTGGTCGGCCTCGACAGTGTCCTTTTCATCCAGCATGTTCAGCTCGAGGAGGGTCGAAGTGGAGGAGGTTCGCGCGTGGAGAGTGGCGTCGTATTCACGCCAGGCACTCAGAGGAATACCCCACGTTGACTGATGCGCGGAAGTTCCGTGAAGCTCCAAAAACCTGCGGCTGTATGCAAGGTCTTGGTTGCAGCGGTGAGCAAAATACCGATATTGAAGTATCTTTCCAAGACTACAAGTCTTCTTGGAGGTACAGTTGGTGCAACAAGGGGAATTCGGCAGAACCTTGCATCTACCCGGGGTCTTCACACAATTAGTACACGGAGAGGCTACCTCCGCCAGAAGAAGCCACAAGGGATCGTCTTGACAATAACCTGAGAGCGGCTTGCCAGTATTAAAGACCGTCTCGAACAGCTGAAGCTGAGGACGAGATGGCGACTCCAAGGTGAATGCCAACTGATCTTGTTCGACCTCCCCATCGGATTTGGAATCTGGGGAAGGTACCTCACCCAAGGCGTTGAGAGGAGGTAGCAAAGGGGAGGGCGTACGAGAGGGAGAACGATCAGAGTTGGAAGACATGGCAGTTAGAGGAGTTAGACTCGTAGAACTGAGTTGGTGGAAGGGGGGAAGAAGCAAGCATCTGACGGACTTCAACAAGAAAATTTCGGGCAACACGTGAATGTCAGGTGACTTCCCGGGAAATGCACCTAACCATCGCGAGGGCGCGAAGGGGTTACAAGGGGGGGTAATGTCATGCCCTGGCTACAACCAGACCAGTACCAGTACTCGCCAGACGTTGTCACACATCCTACCCACCTCCTGTTTGCCCTTTTACACCTCCCCAAGTGTCCTGACATACCTACCCAAACGCCATCTGCCCCAACACGCATACAAGATCCTCCTAACCGCCAACCCCTTTAAGTAGTAATCTCAATTACCTCCCTCCCTCGATTGAACTGTCTCATGTCTCCAGATGTTCTCTTGTTCACTTCCCATACCTATTTAAGTAGTGCTGCAACGTCCCGAAACCCTAGCTTGGTATATTTTGAACACACACCCTTTACATAGGTCCAGTCCCTGTCCCTTTGTACCTGCTACCTATACGGAATTCTCTTTACTCTCTGTTTCACTACCTCTGTTTCTCTCTACTCTCATCTATTGTCTCCCTGATTGTCTATACGATCGAATATACGCTCTTACTTCAAGTCTAAGCCTTCCGAGTGAGTCCCCTAGCTCCCTCGAACATTACTAAAGCTCCCCAATGCCTACACGCTTTGGTGAGCTACCCTTCCCCAAACCTCCCAGAGCTCCCTAGCTACTTCGTAAGCTTTGGGACCTCGATCTAGGTAACGTCGAAGCTACCCCTCACGTCGAACTACATACTGCTTCTCCGTTACCACCTCCCACACTTGAGGAAGTCCATCCTCAAGCCCAGCCCCCAGGGACCTACCCTCCCTGGCATATCCCTTCTCGGGAGCTTACACCCTCGAGACCCAATTACATATACGACCTACTCGATCCTATATTAACGTACTAGCGAGTACAACTCCTACTACGCAATATTGTACGGTCCCGCACTCTTCCTTAACCTCCCTGGACCTCCTAGGAACCCCCTCAAGGGTCATCATCTCGTCGTTCCAGCCACTACTAGGTCATTCCCGTCCTCGGTCGCGGTTCCTGTAGCTCCCTTCGAGCTCCAGCCTGCTCCTAGCACGCTACAACATAAACCTGTTAAGATCATGTACACCGTGGAACCGTGCCAAGGCCACAAGGTGTCTAAGTGCGGAAGACGAGTGGGACAGTAGTGAAGTTATTAACAACACCGCCGTTACGCCGTTAGTCCCCGGAGAGCGAGAGTAGAGAGGGAGGAGCTAAGTAGCAGCCAGGTCGGAGCGGCGGTATCGCCGATGACGAGGAGCGAACCAGCGGACGTCTAAGTCCTAGGGTTATAGTAGAGAGTACTCCAAGGCGTTGAGCCTGAAGACTTAGAGAAGAGTTGAGTTGAGAAGGGAGATCTAAGTTGATCTAAGTCGATAATTAAACTAAGGAACTACAGTAGCGTACAGGCAGTATTTATATCTACGGAGCGGCGCATCGGTGCGGAGCGCCAGACTAACTACTAGGAGCTATACGAGTAGTACCTGCAGGGTAGAGTAAAAGACAATAAGGAGAGACTAGAACGAAAGAGTAAAAGACAATAATGAGAGACTAGGACGAAAGGATATGTGTAGCGAGAAAGAACAATAGGAAGAGATTACAATAAAAGCAGATCTTCGGAATACCGAGCGGCGGCATGGACTTGACAAAACCTTCATATACCAAACCCCACCTTAAGACCTATTTTGACCCAGGTCTTACAAGTTGCAGGAGAATGTCACAAAAAGTCACACATCTCCATCTTCAACCTCTTTAACCTTGAAGACCGCTCCGGATAACTTCGGAAATGTGTTCTACTGAACTACGGAAGGCATATTCACACATGCATACACATTCCTAAGTAGTTTAAGCTATGTTGCTTATAAAATAAAGTGATATTCGACAATTTTGCAAACCTGACAGCCAAAAGGGCTTATGCAAGGAGATCTCAACTGTTTTTCTCACAGAAAAAGCACAAACTAGGTATTTCAGGTGTTCATAATGCGATCCCGAAGCATACATACAGTAATAAGAAAGGAGAAACACCTACAGGATATGTTTTCAAACTCCCCTGCCTTTTCAAAGCCGGCAGGCACGATAGTACCAGCGAAGGGGTGTTAACTCGGCACCGCTGCCGAACTTGATCAGAATGCTGACCAGTCTTATAAGGTAAGCGCCCATAATTTTTCCGCTGCCATGGAAAACTCCTGTGCTAAATTTTTCACCGCTTGGATTAGCATACACCCTCATACACCCAATCGATACATCATATTGATACTTGATATCGATGCTGTATCGATGCATATTCTGGGTGTGATAGGTCCAGAACACAACCCTTGACTGTTGGTAGTGGTAGAGTGCTGAATGCAAGATTGGACTCATTCAATCCTTCAAATTATATATATATATACCCAGCCCACAAAGCTTCTACAGTTTTCTCGCGCTTCTCCCTTCCATTTACGCTCATAACACACGATAGAGCTTAGGTGTTCAAATATCAATCCTTGCCGCGTCGGATTTGGCAATGCGCTCTTTTGCACTTCTTTTGGCTGCAGCAGCAGTGGCAGGCTCCACCTCTGCATCTGAATTGTCCCGAAGGCAGTTTAATCTGCCCAGTACGCTGTGTCCCCTCAAGAGTCAGGTTGTCTGTCTCGTTTACCTGCTTTTTCTATAGCTTGTGCCCTTCCGTGTCTAACCGCCACCAGCTCTACTTCCTTCGGTAACTGTTCCTCCACCGACGAGGCTTGCCTTTGTTCCAACCCACAATTCATTTCCAACGCCACGACGTGTATTGAGGGCGCTTGCACTGGCAACGATTTGCAAACGGCAATATCCGCCGCGGAGGCTTTATGTGCGCAAGCAGTGAGTATATTTTGTGCTTTTGATCTTGTAGCAATCTTCTGACCATCCTGCTTCTATTATCTCCGTACTTTCCCAATATCTCTATATTTAGGGCGTAACACTTGATACAAGTTCCATTATCGCCTCCGTTTCTGCCACTGCGACCACACCCCTTGTGTCGGCTAGCTCGGGATCTGCCAGTGCAAATCCGACTGCAACTACTAGCGGTACAAGTTCTAGGTGAGATGTTACTACCTTAAACTTGTCTCCCTGCTCTCCAAGACGAACTCCCCCTTTACCTACTTTACCCACTTTACACCCCCTCCCCCCATCCTTACCACGAACAACAAGTATCTTCAAGTACTCATCGTCAAACAATAGTACTAATGGCGCCCTTTACAACGGCATATCTCCGGAAATTCTCCTCAGTCTAGTGACAGGCGTGGCCGCATGGATTGCATTCTGATATTTATTCTTCGTAACACTCGCTTTGGCCCACCTTCTTCTGTGCTGTTCGCGTTTGCATGTTTTTCTTTCCTGTTGAGACTCTCTTTTTGTTTCATCCCCGGACTTGGATTTGTACCCACCCAATTTCAGCCTCGCTCTTCAAGTTGGTACATAGTACACACCCTTTACTTACTGTGTTCGTTGTTCGAAAAAACTTTGACTCTGGTTAAACACATCGAATCTCTGGGTTCAAGCCTAGTGTATGAGACGGCTCAGGCTTATATTTATACGGCAACATGTTCAGCGCTCAGGATCCAGTCGACAATTGTGATCAAAGATCTACTACAGACTGAATAAATCTTGTCTCAAAAGCGTCGATAGAGTGAATAGTGGATATTCTCAGCCTTGAGCCTGATTTTCAGCATACTGTCTGTCCATTGCTGTTGCTACATCAGTCCTGTAAGTACGTCGCCTTCTCGGTGCTGTCCAGACGACGCGCTGTATCCGTCGACATAGACATGGTGTTCCGATTCCACATCTGATAATGAAAACACGAAACTGTTGTCATCAGGGTTCGAGGCAGGTTCGAGGTATCTGAAAACCCACGCAATTTTCGACTGTAGTTATGTCAGATGCCTTTCTCTCTGGAGTTCATCACTTATCACCGCACAAAAAAAGCTGAGGCAGGCTAAGCTCAAGCATAACTGAGTATTGAAATTTGACAGGATATGAAAAGCATTGAGCAATCGGATCGCATGAGTTTACTGGCAGGGCCAATTGAGTGGATTCACGTATACGAGGCTGTGAGTCGAGAATGCGACGATCAAGCTGTGGCAAGCATACACTTGTGAAGATGCAGGCCACAGCCCTATTGCGGGATGAGCGCTGAGCGCTCGGTGTGTGTTTGCACTTGATACAATCACCTTCAGCGATGATCATGTAACTAGAAGCCAAATTTCTTGCAGTCAAAACAAGATGGAACTTGAAGGGGGACCAAGACACAAAAACGTTTGTATCGAAAGAACCGAGAAAGACACTTAGAAGGGTACCGAGATTTACCGAAATCTTTCGGTTTACTGAGACCATTAGTTTTGCCAATGAAGAAGAAAAACATCCTAGCCCGATCCTCCAGGATGAAACGTCTGCCTAGGATGGAAGTTGAAAACCAGAATCACAGAGAACGATTACATAAGACGGACTCTCTGGGGAACGTGGCGACCGCCGACAGCAATTCGGTACAGGTTTACGTACACTCTAATTCTCTTAATGCACCCAACTCAGTCTCAACTCGATTCAACTTACCCTCCTTCGTACTTCCACCACCACTTTCCTGATACATGGTAAACATTTCTTCCTTCATCCCATTGAACAACGTCTAAACAAAAGCTTATTGTATTATAACTCTAGAACCCGGTCTCCTAGGACATAACATCGAAAATGGCCTCGATCAATATGCTCCCTGAAGAACTCACTGAACAAATTCTCTGTCTCTGTGTTACTGCGCCTTTTGACCCTCCTCCTCCTCGCCCAAAGTGGTTGGCTTCTACTACCCCTACTTCCCCGCCGGTGGTAAAAAGGCGCAGCTCTTCAGTAATCCGGAATCGTCTTGCCCCTCTTCTCGTCTCAAAAAAATTCCACCGCATCGCTCTTCCTCATTATTACTCTATTGTCCATATAGCGTCCCCGGATCAGGCAACAGCTCTTCTCCATACTCTGCGGACTCAGGAACACTTAGTAGCTCCATACGTCCAAAGGTTCGTTTCCGCGGGCATTTTTCCCCAACTTGGTGCCATCCTTCAGTGCTGCAAAAATATTCGGGATATCGATATCTGCCTAGATTCAGGCCATACTTCTTCTGGTGGGGTGGATCTCGCTACGAAAGAGTTTTGTGATGCGTTAAATGGCTTGCGAGGCATTGGTTATCTTTCCTTGCGTAAAGCACCAAATGCTTATTTGACGCTTCCACGGATCCGATATGTCTTGACAAGGCTAGCTGCTGCAGTCGAAAGTTGGGGTCGCCTGGTTCGTCGTTCGACTTGACTTCCTGGAACATGAGTTGATCCATCATTCATCTTAGGAGTCAGCCAATGTTGCGTTCCGCATGTCGGATGATAATCCACAGGCACTACTAGCGATGGCTTATTCTACGGTTTCACAAGGCCTTCCTTCTCTCTCGGTACTTACATCAACGTCGTTATCTGCCTCTACTCCTGTGTCAGATACTTCGCCACCCACGTCACCCTTGATCAATAGCCCTTCTTCTCCTGCAGGCGGTGGACCCATAGATTTATTGACCAATGCATTGGCCAAATCTCCGTCTCTACACACATTCGCCACGCAAGTTCCAAGCGTCTGGAATGAAGCCATTCTTCGCGTGTCACAGAACCCCTCTCTACAAAAAATTGTCTTGGGTGACCCCAAAACGGGCGTATTGATCACAGGATTGTTTATGGCTGAGTCTAAGAAGCACCCGAGACTGGTAGAGCTGATCAAGGCTGGAACGTATGTTACTTCCCTTTTGCTTGCTTCCATTCATTCCGACACGCCCGCTGACCCTGTTTTTCTTTTTACGCAGCTTAATGGTCAGAACGCGTGCTTATACTTTGGGCAATTTTGGAAACAGTACGGCAATTTGTCTGTGTGCAACTGGTTACATTACTGACGTTGCTAGCAGTTGCCCCATCTGTATCAACACCGTCTACACCCCAGTCTAAATTCAATATCAATGCTACAGCTCAATCCGATCGCGCCCTGGCTATTCGAGGCTTAATTGCATGAACTGCATGGCTGCCTCCTCCCCCTTCCGATTCTTTTGAGTAGGACTACAATTCATTTCCGAGCTATTATCGGTGCTAAATTAGGCTCACAGGCGGTAACTGCATAGCTTTACCTCTGTGCTTTGTACTGTTAATGTAGAAATTCATTTTGCCTATCTTACTCGCACAATTCATGACCTATATCTGTGTAATCTTATACTCGGACATTCCTTTCCGTAATTCCTTGTACATATGTATTACGATCCGGGATTATGCCATTTTCAACGTTCATAAATGCAAAAAAAAATCTTAATAAAGCAACAAAGCAAACGCTTATAAATGACTAATGTTACTCGCTTTTTAGGTAGATTTATGCTCTGAACCAGTGCTTCATTCACTTGGTGCATCGAATTTCTTCGCCCCAGCTTTTCGATGATCTGGGACTACAGCGTCTTTGGGCTTGGTCTTATCAGCGGCTTCTCCTAAATAAGTAGGGAATCTAGGACGAAAAACGACGAAGGGGAGATGTATGAATTCCTTTTACTCCCGAATCCGGAAACAATAGACCGTACCTCGGAACACCGTCCTTGGTGAGTTCTTGAAACCTATACACAATAATCGAGCCGATTTTGGGGGGACTTTTACGTTGCTTGTCATTCAGACCGCTTCCGACGTCGAATGTCTGCCAAGGAACCAGAGTGAGCTCAAAGTTCAGGTCGATTGGATCAATATGAATTTACCTTTCCGGAAGCCATCTTACACTTCAGCGCTCCAGTGACACCGGCATTTCGTCCTTTGCCAGGTTTGTAGCCAGTTACTACTGCCTCGGCGTCGTAAAATGACTATAAAACGAGAAAACAAGTTTCACAAAGCGCAACGAAGAAAAGATCTGGTGATTTTACTAACCTTGATCTTCAGCAACGTACTGGATCTCTTCCCTTCATATAACGATCCCGGTTTTCTCAACATCAAACCCTCCCCACCTAGAGACTCAATCTCTTTGAGTTTATCTAGGACATGTTTTCGGCTTTTGGCTTTTTCTTGTTCGACAATGATGACCTTGTCAGACGCATATGATCCGGTGCCAGGTGCGAAAAGCTTTTTGAGATGTTCTAAGCGCGCTTCAAATGGTTGAGTGGAAAGGGATGGTATGTCAAATATCTGATGACAGCTGCGTCAGAGACGAAGGAGACATATGGAGTATTCAAAAAGTGGATTGATCGAACATACATGAAAAGTTATCCCCTTCCAATGAGGTGAATTCATTGTTTTAACAATGGACACGGTATTCTGGAACTCTCCTCGCCCACCGAAGAGTTCTCCATCGAGAGTCACGTCTTTGGGAAGTTCTGCAATAACAGGTAAGTGTGTGACGTGAGTACGAAAAGAAGAAAAAAACTGACTATCCAAGAACCATTGAGGAGGAGTGAATGGATTTCCGAGACGACTGTACATGCGTTTTCCATCGTAAAATGTTCTGTGAAGGGATAATTGGATATGAACAAAAGATCGTCATATTAATTAAATACTCACCGAACTCCATCCAACTTCTCGGAAACCCACCACCCAGTCGGATCCGGACCCTTGTCAACGTCCCATGAATTTGCTAGGAGAACAGCAACGTCCGTTTTGCTTGAACCTCCATTGTCATCGTCATCCCCTGTGTTTTTTCCTTTCTTTGAAGACTTTTTTCTTGACTTCGGAGCCCGTAAAGCGGCTCCATCTGGATTCTTTAGTTTGATACGCGCAGCTTCGTATTTCTCGCCGAGAAGAGATATCAAATGTTTACAGCTACGCGCGTTGACAGGGACAGAAGGCTAGAAAGGCTCGAATCAGGATGACTATCGAATGATTACACAAGCAAACTTACTTGGTTCCTCCAAGCCTTCCGGAAAAGAGAACTGAGTCCAGGAAGCAAGTCAAATGACTGATTACACTTACAGGACAGGTACTGCAGATGATAATCAGCGACCAAAAGACAGAACATGTCCATCACAAAGAAAAGCTTACCAGTAATAATGATCCCAGGTTCGTTTTACCTTGTACGTCGACGAACTAACACAATCGCATGAATTGTTTACCAGATATAGTAGGGGAAGAAGAAACAAACAAACGAACCTCGTTTGAGATTGTACTTCCATCTCTTCACCATCCTCCATCAAAACATTAGGTTTGATTCCTTTGATTGAAGCCAGCTCGTCGCCACCGTCATCATCATCTCCTTCTTCTTCTTCATCGTCGTCCCTCTCGTCATTATCCTCTGGCTCGTCTCCTTCTTCTTCTTCCTCAACTTTCTGTCGTTTGGAGGCAGGTTTGCCTTTGGGAGCGAGTTTCTTCGAGGTCGAGGGTGTCTTTCTGTCCGCTTGATTGTCAGAATCGTTGGCATCATCGTCATCGGTTTCGGATTCATCTTTTCTGGTGCGCTTCCTGGATGATGGCTTGGAGATTGCCTTTGCGGGCGCCTGGCATGAATAGCAAGAGAAGGCGGAGGGCAAAAATGAGAGACAGGATCAGTGACTTATCAAGCGAGACCGTACGTGGTGATTCGAACGAACCTTTGCTTTTGGCGGTGCTGGCTTCTGATTGGATATCTTTTTCCCCTTCCCCTTAACCAAGGTACTCTTCTTATTATTATCCTCTTGATTGGAATCACTATCATCTTCAGTCTCAGAGATGGCTTCGTTGCCCTTGTTGGGTTTCTTTTCAGGGGATTTTCCTTTATGTGATGCCGAGGGTTTTTTCGGGCGTTTGTTTGGGTTATTCTCTGCCTCTTCCTCTTCGCCCTCAATTTCCGAGTCTTCCTTTGCTCGCTTCTTAGGCCTTTTGGAAGGAACAACAGACTGCTTGGTGGGCTTTACATCCTCGTCCTCATCATCGTTTTCATCTTCATCCATGTCGACGTCGTCATCCAGGTCGCCAATATCGTCCATATTGTTTTCGTCATCATCTACTTCCATACTATCATCATCATCGTTCTTCTTCTTCTTACCCCTTTTCTCCCTCTTCTTGGCCTGTACCTTGCCTTTTATCACCTTCAAGAGGCTTGAGCTAGATGGTTTCGCGTTTTGGGGGGCAGCTGATGTCGAAAAAGGTTTAGAGCTCGGTACAGAAGTCGGTTTGGTTGATTTTGAAGTTAACGTCGCTCCAAGTACTTTTTTCTGAGATCCAGAAGAGTCCGGCGACGGGTTGGAAGGTAATTTCTGGTTGGAGTGATTCTTAGAGTTTTGTGCTCGTGGCTTGCGCACGGGCAGTCCTTTCAGTGGGGGACCACCAGGATTCATATATTCAAGCCGAGCCTCTTCGTATTGTTCACCGAGTAGTGATATAAGATGTTTGCATGTGCGTGCGTTTACTGGAGTGCCAATCTACGTCACAGTAATAAGTATACGAAGGGGTCACACGTGTAGCAAAGCGCACCTGGTTTCTCCATGCCTATTTGATAGGAGAATGCACAATAGTACGCGACACATTATGGATAGTCGCGTGATTAATGATTCGAAGAGACGTACCGGGCAGGTGCTATGTGTTAACACTATATCAATATCAATTTACTCTATAAAATCGGTAAATGTTCATACCAATAAAAATGCTCAGAGTTTCGCTTTACCGTAAACTTCAAAGTTCTAGAGCAGAGATAGATCAGGATCCACGAACCACGCAACTCGAAGCGGGACGATAAGATAGGGAACCTAGTGCTCACACGAATTTCGGCTGAATTACCTTCTCCTCTCCTTCTTCAAGAGTGAAGTTTGGCTTGATACCGTTAAATTCTGCAAGTTTGTCATTCACCATAATGATAGTGGAGGGGACTGTGGAACCAGTGTGGAACTAATGGCACTGAGTTTGACACCATGACAGTGGGCGCTATTGGTGACTCATAGAGATCATGTGACTTGAAGTTCGCGTTCAGAATCAGATCTCATGCCAAGGGACGTCGGAGTCGTATGTCAATGCATTATGCATGCAAATCTCAGTCTGCCTCAGTCTGCCTACATGCATAAGCGACGAGCGTCAAGCATACCTTCGATTGAATCATGATTGTCCAATTATTATTATTGCAATCCGAAAAAGCAGAGTACATAAACTGTGAATCTTAAGTACATTCAGTACAGGTTGAACAGATTTTTGTGTTGGTTAAATTGTCATAATTATACGAATGAAAAATACAGCGGACGCAGAGATCGGACCCCTTCTTCATTTGCTGAGCATCATCTATGGAAAACGAGATCAGAACGTGTTATACGATCGATGGAAAGGGCGTACGTTGACGAACTCTGCAAAGTGCAGAAAAAAGAGATTTAAGGATTGTTTCAGCCGACTGAGACGTTACGAGAATCACAGAGATAAAGGCTTACCCTGATAGTTGATGCATCCATCGCCATCTAGGTCCGCTTCTTGGATCATAGCATCCACCTCTTTATCGCTCAATTTCTCACCTAGATCAACGAACACATCACGATCAGAAATCGCGATTATCCATTTTAGCAGGCCGAGCAACGCACCTAAACTCTCCATAACGGCCTTCAATTCCTTCGCGCTGATCGTCCCGTTCCCGTCCTTATCGAATACCTGGAACGCCTGTCTGATTTCCTCTTCGCTATCTGTATCCTTGAACTTTTTCGCCATCATGGACAAAAATTCCTTGAAATCGATCGTCCCGTTACCGTCTACGTCGACCTCGTTGATCATATCCTGCAGCTCTGCATCGGTAGGGTTTTGTCCTAGGGAACGCATGACGGTGCCGAGTTCGAGGGTGGTGATGGTACCGTCGCCATCTGAAGATGTGTAGAAGGTCAAAAAATGGAAGTGGGAAGATTGGTGTTAGATGTTCGGATATGGATGTGAGTTGAGGACTGGGCTTGCCTTTATCAAACAAGGAAAAGGCCTCCTTGAATTCTAAGAGCGATTAATCCAGTCGGCCTTCCAAGTAAACATGCAATTGAAATCCATTCATACCGTTAATTTGCTCTGGACATCGTAATCCATAAAGTCAATCCAGGCAACTCATCATAAGTCAGATCCCGAAAACTTGCCTTCGCTCTATACGAGGAAGTAAATAACCCGTCAAGTGACATGCAAAACGTAGACACATACCAACTGATCGGAGGCCATTGTTTTATAATTCTTCCCTTGAAAGTGGAGGTTGGATATAAGGCTATAGTTGATTTGCCTGGAGATGGTTTAGACTCAAAAATTATAAAAGTCGGCAGGATAACTGGTCCGATGGCTCACCTGGTCACCAGTCACCAAGTTAGATGTATGAGTGTGGAGCAATTGCGGGTTCAACAATGTCGATAAACGATGGACGTTAACCTTCAATGGAGACTGGGAAAAGCCTGGTGGTGGCTTATAAGAAGAAATGGTCGTATGGATAGCACCGCCTACATACAATCAGGATTGATGGAGTCACTGCTTTCCACCGCTTCTTTTACCTGCTCTCACTGCTCAAGCGCTCAGCGCTCAGGTGTTCAACTCGTTATTTCGAACTGAAAGATGACAATTGGCCAGGTGTTTCAAAGAAAATATGTGTTTGAATAATTCACGTCGATTCGTTGGTTGGCTTCTCATTATCTAGCACTACAATCAAATGCTTCAGTTTTGACTAGGAATACTTGCTTTCGCTGTGAAGTACTATAGGAATCACTAAGTGCAATCCCTTCTCTATTGCACAAGTCAAAGTATGACGAACGTAATCTCTTAACCTGCACTCAAGTCCAAACAGCCGATTGTGGAACGTTGAACATATGTAATTCGAAGAACGAAGGCAAAACGGGACACTGGCACTCAATACTAGCTCACTGCCCTTGCATTGCACATTGCAGTACTTCCACTTGAATTTCACTCAGCCCCAATCTTATTTATCAGTGGTTTTCGTGAAGTGCCATTGCCATCACTTGCGTTAATATACGCAGTTTCCACGTCAAAGCTTTCAGAAGGCGATCGAGGTCGGGATTTGTAGCTTCGAACACAACCATCTGGGACGAATTTATTCCTAATCGCTCCTGATCGGCACAATGGGATAAAGTTTGCTAGTCAAGGCTTTCAATGTAATTCTCTGGCTACCTCATGCCTTCCCTGCAGACCCAAACAGCGTAATGAATCTATCACACACTGTCGCAAACATCTCTGTCGCTTCCTCGATTGCGTCAGGAAGCGGTCTTCCTGCCTGCAAAGCGGAGGTAAATGTTTTCAGATAAGGATCTCTCGCCCATGAATTGATGTTGAACTGCAAGGAGAGAAGAGAACCAGTTAGTACGAGTGAGTGTCATCAGGCAGTATCATATGGCTCGTATAAAGGGTACCTTGCTCATGCCACTAGCGATACACTCGCGGAACAGCTCGTCTGGTAGTTCATCTGTGCCATGAAGACATAATGGGATCCCCCGTCCTTTGAACGTGGTACGCAGGTTTTGAATGCTGTTTAGATCAGGGCACAGAACGAAGGAGCATGAGGGCGAATTGTTTCGTCAGTAGTCAGACTAGAATACGTACATGTCCTGCCTGAAGTTTGGTGGTTTGAGATATGAGCCGTGCAGATTTCCAATACTTGGTGCTAAGATCACAGCACCAGTTCTGAAATGAAGAGTACAATGTATGTATGTCAGCGCCAGTTTTTTCATAGATACACGGAAGAGCATGCTATACGCACCCTTTCATGAACATATCCGCATTCTTTTGATTTGTCAATTTCGCATCTGAAATCATCCTCAACCCGGCTTCACCTCCTTCGAGTCGACCCAACTCAACTTCGACCGCGATCCCATACTTCCTTGCACGGTCGATGTAAGGCCGAGCAAGAGCGATATTCTCCTCGTCAGTCTGAATGGAGGTTGATAGTGAGTAATCATGCTCCACGAATAGCAAGCTTCCGTCATGTATGAACGGAAATGATTGTCAAAGCAGGATATTTCAGAGGAACAAAAACACACCTCCGCATGACTAGCATCGACCATGATACTATCAAAAGCAATTCCTTTTTCAGCTAAACTCAATGCGAGTTCGAGATGCTCTGGGTCGGTTGCATGGTCCAAGTGGACCGCGATCGGCACAGCCGCTTGATGTGCTCTAGGAATGCGTAACAAACTTCTTGAACAACGTCAAATCGCAAGGATCAGAGGTTGATATTTACATGGATAGGCAAAACTGAAGGAAAGGACCTTTTCCGTATGCCAGCGTAACAGGGAACAGCATAATCATTGCTGGGCTGGCCATTCGTTCTGCGGAACGGACAAGGGCGATGACCGATTGAGCGTCATAGCTGGAATAGATTAGGATTAGATAGATTTTTCTTGATGGAAGGGAAATCTATGTACCAGACTTGTGCTAGGACACCATAGCCTCCTTGCTCGGCTTTGTAGAGAATATCGAGTGTTCTGTTTCCCTGTAGGCTTTCAAGGGACATGGCGAGATGGGAAGAAAGGATGCAGAACGTGAGATAAATGTCTCTTCAGGTGAACCCAAATGTAGAAGCGGGTCAGTTGACATCGAATGGTTGCCCCGTGCAAGTTCTTATTTACACCAAAGTCGATGGAAAGTCGGATGCATAAATAGCGTTGCCATGTTGCTAATAGTCACAAGTGTGATTGGCCCAGGACCACATATTAAGAAGATGGCACTTTACCCCACGAGCTGTAGTGAGCTTGAAACCAAATGAGCTTATAGAACGATGAAACCATGGTTGGCACACCAGTGACCACGGTTGAGTTGGTGACTACTTGCAAGAGCTTTTAGAGCATGATGATATTACCTACGTAATACAGAATCGAATTATTTGAGACGGATTGACTGACAGTCGTGCATATTGTAGCTTTACAACTTCGAAGCCCAGCGGACGCGAAGGTTTACTTTGATAACATGATCTGGGGAGATGGTAGTTAGAATGATTATCTATATCAGCGTACTGAAGAAAGTATTCACGTTTACGAATTCTAAAATAAGAAAACTCAGGTTAGACCCAGCCACAGTAAACTGGAGTTGTATCGCACCATTGTAGTCAATGGTTCCATTTCCATCCTGATCTGCCTCTCTCATCATTTCATCCACTTCTTCTTCAGTTAACTTTTCACCTGTGAAAGTAACGCATTTAAACATTGCAGAAGAAAGCGAGCGCGACATACCAAGGTTCGTCATTACGTGTCTTAACTCAGCGGCGCTAATGAAGCCATTACCATCCTTATCGAAAACCCTGAACGCTTCCTTGATTTCCTCTTCGCTATCGATGTCCTTCATCTTACGCGCCATCATCGACAGAAACTCTGGAAAATCGATGGTACCGTCTCCGTCCACATCGACTTCATTGACCATTTCTTGAAGTTCAGCTTCAGTAGGATTTTGCCCTAATGACCGCATAACAGTTCCGAGCTCTTTCGTGGTTATCGTGCCATCTCCGTCTGTAGATACAAATGCCAAGCCGATATGATGAGCTCCAAATGTGCACGTCCAACACCAAGAGCAAACCTTTGTCGAACAAGGAGAATGCTTCCTTGAACTCTGGGCATGAAAGTCAGGGAGTCAACGTAGGACGATTGAATGGACTACGCACCAGATATTTGCTCTGAGATTCGAGAAGAGAGGGATTCAATTTTAGTTCCTATCTAATTGAACATGACGCAAAGGTTTACCTTCAGACTGGATATTCCGGTCAGTGAATATTAGAATTACCAGACGAAGACAGACTCACTAGTTGTTCTGCCATGGTTACAATCGAAGGTAGGCTAAGCGCCAATGAACAGCGGGATACCGGCAAGTGCCGAGTTTTAGAGCAGACTCCGCATTTTTCAACTACATAAATATGTCTCCATTATATTCTAGCCAAAGGCTTTCATAACGTTCGTTTGGATTCTGGTACGTCGCACGGCATGTTTCTTAAATTATGTCGCGGCACCGTGGTATGCTACGTATATGACGATGGTGAAATTTCTGACACCGAAAATTCAAGATGACGAACTTGAACTCATTCATGAACTCTTCCTCGATGTTTGATTATCGAGACCGGCTACCTTATTAGGACTACACCCCCGGGCGGGGCCAGGCTATGAATCTACCTATTACTACATACACATAATTGCCAACTACTTATACACCAAAAGATTGCATACATTAATGTACAGAGAACTCACGGATTATTCACGATGAGGTGCTGGGAGCGGACGAGGAAACATAGGCTACCTTGGACCGTAAACACCCTCGTCTCGCATCAATTCCACCCATTGTGCATCCACCGACATCATGAGAGGAGTTACTGCGAAAGGGGTTTGGCTTGGTGGTGATTGACTGAAAGGACCTTGTTTCATATGCCCCCTGCTTTGACTCGTTCCGGATTCAAAATAGGGATCTGATCCTTGTGCTTGGGTTGACACCCAGGAAGGCTTTGCATCATAGCCACCTCTATGATGTACGGGTAATGGTGTAAGTTGATCCTGGTTGTCATTCCAGTACTCACGTTGGGTAGTGGACCGTGTAGGCGGATGATACTGACCAGCAGCAGGTGGTACGTCTCGCGATGTGCCCGGACCATATCTGAATGATGAGATCCCAGATGTGTACGATTGAGAGCTGTACGAGGAAGCCCCGCTAGACGATGATTTAGAAGTATTGCTAATAAATCCAGGTCGGTCGACCGGTAGGTCAGTGGGAGATTGCCAAAGTGGAATAGGGTCGTTAGATTGGCCGGCAGCAGAAGATGGGGATGGATATGACGAAGAGGATGACGAAGGAGACGAGAAAGGGAAAGAATAGCGGGATTCGAGAGTGGATTGTGTTACATGTTCTGAAGAAGGGAACATTTCAGAGTCAGATGTATCCGATTGATACTGCCCAGACGCTTCCGGAAATTCATTTCTCTGAGTGTCTGGAGTTCTTCTTGAAGACCTCATCTTCTTCATTAAAAGTTTTGTGTAACCTGCAAATGTTTCCAACGTATGCAGGGCGTCCGCATCTTCTCGAACCACGTTCAATCTTCCCATCGCAGTATTTCCCGGAGAGGTTGTTGATACGTATGCCTTGGTTGCCTTTTCATACATTCGAAGCAACACGTTCTATTGAGCAGCCCCGAGTCGAACAAAATAAGTTTCGTTTCAAACTTCTGAGCAGATTGTACGTACTAGACTACGTCTGGCTTTGTCAGATTTGGGAGCACCCATTTTGAAGAGGTCCACCGCGAGCTCCAGCTCTTCATAAGCGTCGGCCGCGATGGGATTTGAAGGTGATCTTGCAACAATCAGTCCGAGAATTATCTGCTATTTGATAAGAATATGAAAACTGATGTGAAACTAAGAAAACTGACACCAGCACTGAGGACTATAAAGCGCATTAGTATGGGAGGTGGTGTTAAAGGTACACTGACAGTACTTACGGCCGGTCCAAATCTCCCAATACCTGGAAAGCACGTTGGGATACTTGTAAAAATTCTTGACATTCAGGTGGACCATTGTCGAGGCAATCTGATAAGCGGCGAGAAACGACGGTGCGTAAACAGTCCCCAATGGGTCAGACGGGGACTGCAGGAGAGCCTGCGCAAAGAAAGCCCGATGTACATGCATAACCACTGGGAAGTCGCACATTTAAATAGACGACATGTAAGGCAATGCTAGGGCTTACCTACTGCTCTGAACTGGTTAAGATGGTGACCCTTCAAGGTCATCAACCATACTTCGTATCCACCGCCTTCTTCGCCACTAGTAAAACCCTTCTCAACCGCATTGGACAGAGAACGTAATGGGTCATATTTCTGGGGGAGGGGATGCTCCCGCACAAGCCGGTCGAGGTCAAGGATGGTTTGGTAATCAGGCATACCGGGTGAAAGAGTGACGTTGGAAATGGCAGTCATGACATCCCTGCTGAAAGTCATTCGCCAACGGTGGACTGAGTTGGATTTGTATCAAGAATTGAGATAATGAACGAGATGAAACGCACTCACATCCCGGCTCCGGGTTCCCTTGATCATCGACGCCATCATCGTCATCGAATGGTAACGGCGTATCACTATGGGCTGTAAAGAGAGACGGCGGTCTGCCTAAGTCTAGGCTCTACGTGGAAACTGTAAGCATGACCTTCAAGCATCACGACGATACATACAATGAGTCCATCGAACGTGTACAACTCCCAAAATATCGCCCGTCGTCGTTGAATCGTTTTATCATCCAAACCCCATCTTGGGCTTTCACGATCTGCAAGACAAGATCAGTCAGCACGATTTAGAGGCTTTCTTGAGCGAAGATGGAAACGAACGTAGTCCGAGCTAGTGCATGTCAGTAGCTGCAAGACCTTATTCAATCGACTGACTCACACTATGAGTTAGCTTAGCCGCGAATGTCAAACATACCCAAGTAGCTTCTATGCTATAGTTCGGGCCCCCGGTACCATAGTAAGACCCAATCAATGTGAGAGCTTGTATGGAGGCTAGGTCTGGCGAGACGAGGACCGGATGGAGTGCCAGGGTTGCACGGCTAAGGTTGAAGAAAAGGGCTGATTCAGTACTGTACATTGGCGTGCTGAGGTCTGCCAGGGATCCAAGAGCAAGACAAATGAATAAAACGGCGAGACGCGTGGGAGGTAAAGGAACAGTGTTCTCTAAGTCTGTAAAGCCCGCGTCGTCCAGGAAGGATGAAAATTGATAGATAGGAGTCAGCAGCTCGTCAAAGAGCTCTTCCCTTGAAACCGTGCGAATATACCAGAAGTTGTGGGTTAGGAATTGTTCAGCAAGAGCCCAAGCACGCTCTCTTTCCGGAAGATAAGAGAGTATCAACTTCATGGAGCTTTCAACATCCCAGATACTGTCAGGTGCAAACGGGAACGAATTCACGAGCTGTGCAATTTCATGAGTAGGAATGAAATCGTCTTCGTCCGTTACGCCCTGTATTTCAGGGCTACCTTCTAGTAGACTCTGTTTGAGAACGGGTCAACTTATATGCATTATCCCATTGGTGCAAAAATCACCAACTTCTGACACGGCCGAACGCCCAAGGTATCTTGCATCGCCGACCTCTTTACCGAGGGACAACGTTCCGAGTGCGTCGACAATTTCTACTGTTTTCCAATCGTCAGAGAAGCTATTTGTCCGTTGCTCTATCTTTGGAAGACGCGGGGCTCCGGCAAGGAGAGGGTGTGGTTCAGATGAAACAGTCGCTTGCAGGGTTGAAAGTGCATCTTCTAGCTTTCCGATATGCTGATTCATGGCCCGAATCTTCTTATGCAAGGCAGTTGTATCGGATGTTATGATTCTGAGTAATGGATGCATAAGAAAAGACAGTCGTCGTGAGTAAACCTGCGTAGAGCATACCGTTTCGTTGGCGCAGTAGCTAAGGCTTTAGTTGGACAGAGCGAAACACATCCCCTTCTGACGCACGAGCTGCAGGGTATCTGTTTCGATGTTTCAATTTTAGACTTGTGAATAATGACGCGTTCAAAGATCGTTACCTTCTTGTCGCATCTGAGTTTTAATCTGTTAGGTAGAATCGTTCAATGACCGGTTATATGCCAGCAAAAACTTGGAGATTAACGAACCTACGACACTCAGCGCAAGATATCTGCAGTGAGGAATCATCAGAACGATTGGTCCGTTTTGAATGGAGAATTTTGGATTTTCAAACCTGGCCTTGTACACGCCTGATATCCGTCTTTTCTTGGTGCGACATTTGAGGAAATGAGTGAAAACTGGTAGACGCTTCGTTTTGGGAGGACATCGCTCAAGACAACTCATAGAGAGAAAGCAAACAGAGGGAGATAACTTTAAGGCATCCAGGAATGGAAATATTGAAATTCGGAAATACAGCCGTGATCGATATCGGTGCCTATGCTAGCTATATATGGGAATAATGATTTGCATGGTCGGCGATCTCGCCGATTCTACTGGGCCACTCAAAAGGTTAGAGGTCCTCAGCGCTCAGCGCTTCAGCACTCAGATATTGGGATTGAAGCTTTGAAGGTTCCGTCGTTGACGATTGCAAGAATGTCTAAAGTAATACCTAACTTCATTACATTAATCAATGGGGCTATAGTACGATATAGGTAATGTCAATAGCTTACTACTAAGTCATGAAGGTCAATTGTTGAAGGAAATGATTAATGATTACCTGGCATGGTCCAGGATACCGGGGAAAAGTACTCACTCCGCTCTAGATCCTGCGCGCACCACATGTACATAGTAAGGACAAGGAGAGCCAAGGAGTAAGTCAAAGGAGTGGTAAGGAAAGGTTTACTAGGAAGTGTTCGAAAGAGGCTCGAGCTCATGGGCAGGGAAACTTATTCATTCTCTCAATTTCAGTGTTCGCACTCTCCTATAAAGGAGCAATCATCATATACCCCACATACGAATTACTGTTGACAACGCTGGGGCGATATTATCACAGATCAGAACCCATTCGGCACTGCTGTTATGCAACTGATGTACCATGTTGCCTTTTCGCATTTGGAAATGGAAATTAGGACAGGAACGTTAGGAAGGTAAGATCGAGTCCAGGAGGACTTGGAGATACGCATGTGGGTCAACAATAAGAGAAGATAACAGAGATTGACAAACGTCGTTATCCAAAGCGCAGTCCTCATTCTGGAGAATGAGCGTTAGCGCTCGTCGATTGAGGTTAAAGTCAAATAAAGCCTATGTAGGAGTTGACCTCAGCCATTTTTCTCATTCACGGGAACACAGTTAAATCGCCGGGAGGTGATAGCGATAGCTGTACACGACCTCGCGACGATTTCGCGCGATAAGAATCCAGAAACGTTTTAGTTTTGCGACAGAGGAGCAGAGACTCTGCCAGAGAGGTTGTTTGCACTCGGTTTGCTCCGAAGTAGATAATAAAACATGAAGATCTGTAAGCATTTGAATTGGTGTCGATGGATGATCTTTTTCTATCTTGCACGAACCTGCAAGTGAACGAAGGCCGCCGACGAGTGAAATTTTCTTGTCGTTACCCTTCGCCACCGCGGCCGCAGCGATTCTGAAGCCCGATGTCTCGGAGCCAAGATCTACGTGAAAAAGGTTGTTCCAGTGTCGTTCCCCTAATTACAGCTAACTAATTCCAACTAACGGAACGACAGTTGTGCTTCTATTTGACTGTTGGCGGAATAAAATTCAGTTTTGGAGGGTATACTGGTATCAATCCACCGACATGTATGTAGAAGGCAAGAAAGTGGAAGGCATGATTCAGAACCGTTTGAACACGACAAAGAAATCCGAGAATTCGACGATCATTGAGACGCGACTGACACGTAACATGGACCAGAAAAGCGCCGTAATGGCGAAGTGTAAGAGTATCGAAAAGTGAAGGCTGCGCGTAGAAGAGTACTACTACAAGAATCAAACCTACGGAATAGAACTGATAAAGATACGAATCATAACGATACCCATTATACGCATGTGTTAACAAAATAGAGCGACAAATAAATTCAAAAGAGCGTGCAGTAGGTTATGTTGAAGAGGGTATCCAGTTTGATGGACGAAGGAATGATATTATGATTTGCAAAACAATAGCAGAACGAATAAAAAGGTTCGTAAACGCGAAAACAAGATTCATTAAGGTCATTACATGAATAGTGTTAACCAGCGATGAAGAGAGTGGGTGAAAGGGCAGGGAAATGCTGGTCAACGCCGCGGAAATCATACAGTGCGGGTAGATATCCAAGAACTTGTACTATAGTCGATGTCCAGGTACAGCCCAAAATATCAACGTGAGGGCAGTAACGAAAGCGGCGACCAAGACTGACACCCATATCGCACGACCTAGTAACAGTTTATTCACGTAAGGCTCCTTGATTCGCAGCGTACGGAAGGGTGTCGTTTCGGATTGACCAAGGAACACAAGTATAGGATCGAGCTCATATTGATGAGACACGAGGAATAGAACAGCAAATGTGAACGGTATGAATAGCTATAATAAGTAACGTGAGCATAGCGTGCAAAGAACTAAACTTAAAATGAACGCACGAAGAAACGTTTTGACTTCGGCTGAACGTCAAGGAACACCAGAGAAAATGCTGTCGCAAGCCCTATCCATAAAATTACAAGGCCTAAAATGAGCCTTACGAGAGCTGATATTGGGGTGAGGTTTCCGAAAGCCTTCGCTCGCAAGAAACGAGGAAACGCATCCTGTTCCATTGCACGGAAACAGTATTCCTTCTGTGCATGAAACATATCAGGAATTTGAGCCATGATAGCCATTTCGGATTGAGATTTCGGTTCGGCTGATGAACTTAGTGGGAAGGAATGGATTCGGAGAGAGGGAGGAAGGTATATTTCGTGATTCTCCTGCGAGTTCACTGTGTTTCCTGCTGGTGACAGATATCGGAAATATATTCGTTCAGCAGAAGCGATAAGGTCTTGGCGTGTGATCGCTGAGGATCGTGGGATGACTGTAGGTGCGCGAGAAGCGCGTTTCAAGTTGAACAGAGTGGGTGTGCGACCAGACAAGGAAAACGGCGTTGTTGGTCGGTCATTATTGGGAGATGTGGAGGCGATATGTGTATGTTCTGAAATGCCGGGTGTAAGGCGAGGCGAGGTGGAACGACCGGCTGCTTTTTCGTCTGTCGCTGCCAGATTTCGCTTGTCCTGTTCACTCAGTAGTTCTCCCGTACTGGCAGTACTACGTTTCGTATGCATCCCATCTGGATTAAGCCCAACGACGGTGCCATATATGGACCCTCTCCGTCGTGCGTAGTCCCAATATTGCGGCCAATCTTCCTTGATGGTGCGACCAGACTTACGAACATCTTTGAAATATGCACGACACAGGTTTTCATGTTGTTGAACGTCCAGCCAAAAGTCAAGGATATCCTCTGCTCCTTCTCGCTGTAAGAAGAGACTAGAGACCTGTAAGTTGCTAATCAACAGAAAAAGAACGCTCAAAACGGACTAAAACATAAAAAGATCCACTGGCGGTCGGGTTCTTCGAGAAAGAACCTCTGTGAAGGATGGGAGACGGTTACTACGATCGCTTGCCCAGTCCTCTTGTTGTCGCTGGTCGTCCATGATCAAGTGAAGAAATCCCCGTGTTGGTCGTTGCAAGTTGAGATCAACAATGATTATGTAAGCCCAGTTTCCCCGCCTTCCTTTAGTTTTCCTGCCACCATGTCGTTCACCAAGGCGTTTCCCCCTGCCTTGCGTGAAATTCGTATTCTTTGCTCTCAAACAGGCTCAGCATCAGCTGGTACACGGTATGATTTCCCCTTTGTTCACGTTTGACCTGTACCAAATCATGAATCAGACAGTTCATCCTCAACCGGTACCCTACAATTAAAGACCTCAATCCTGATCTTCCGGTCTTAATTAGAGAAGCCAAAGGTACTCCCGCCAGAATTTTCGCAAGATTTGGTGCGTCTTCTCTCTTGGCACCACTCTTTGCCTGACTTTTGCTCGACCAGAGAGAGGTGTAGAGAAGCATGTCGAGCTGGATAATCTATCGGCTAGCGACGTAGAAACGAAAGTTGCTCAATTATTGTCGTAATTGCTTTCACGGAGCCAAATATATTGAGAAATATTTTTGCACTTCACAAATTTCATGACAACATGGGGTTCGAACACGGTCTAATTGCGTTGGCCATATTACTACGAAAGGAATAAGGTGAAGTATTGCCAGTGGCTCGTCCATTCAACTCGATCTCGCTGAACGGTTTTCCCTTACTTGCATATGTGTTAGCTCATGCCTCTCTCCATTTTCATTTGTCTCACCGACCAATTTCTAAATTTTGGCGCTACAGCGCTTCTCTTCCGGAACGCGGATTTCCTGGAACTTTCCAATACAAGAGAGAAAGGACTGGGTTATGTGGAGGTTCAAGTATCCTTTAAACCCTACCAGCAATTAGAGCATCCCAAGTTCCACAACCCTGTCTCATATTCTAGCAGATTCTAGTTCGAAAAAATAAAAGCTATCTCGACCTGCACTGCCGTGGAGGGAATAAACAGAAATTGTTTAACTTATCTCGCGCGTGGTGATATTCGTCGTATGCAGCTCAACAGAGTAACAAACAGCAACAAATCTCGTAGAGGCTCTGGCCATGGTTGTCCAACTGGTGAATCCGTATTATCTGTACCAATCATGTACTTAGTTCTCAGCAGCGGACGGGATGTACTCACCATGTTTCTGGATTTCGCGCGGAGATTCGATGGGTGATTATCCCCATCCCTTAGCTTGCGCATCCGCTCATTCATCAACGAAACATTACAGCACAGTATATCTTTTGAGGGGCGGGCTGGAACCTGCTGGAACAGCTTCAAATCGAGCGAGATTCAGGCGGGATTCCACATCGGCACTCATACTAGTTATAGGCCTCAATTGTGATTTTGACAGGACGACGAATAAGGTCACACGACATCTAGCGATAACGTCAAAATCAATATCGCGCTCTTCTACGTGCTCATGATGCCTTCAATTTGGCCGTTATCAAGCGTCCGACCTCAACTGCTGACACCTCCCTCAGTACACAGACCTTAGTCTACTTATGCTGTTGTCAAATCAGCGCCCTCTTCGCCCTGGCTCTTTCCTCGTCGGAATGTTAGCAGATATTTGTGCAAAGCAGCAGTCACCTGGCTGGGATAAAGAAAAGAAGCACGGATTAGTATGACCGAGTTCAATACAATGATATTGTGCCTTTGGCATTATTTAGGTACGTTTGATAACAACTTTCATTCTTTCCCGGAGCTTCTAATAATATGCTTCGTTGTGGAGCATGTGCATCAGTGCGGCTTATCTTCCCGCACCAGTATATCATTTTGGAAAATTTCTCTTTTCGCCTGCTTGTCCCCTTCTTTTTAGATCTTGAGCTGCTGCGCTTATAGAATGGCCGGACTGCAGCCTGATGCGCTCGATGAACTGGTGGCAACTCATATTGTCACTCACAACGAGTATGAGATGAAGAAGGAACACCCCGAGTTGGATGTCGCCAGTGCAGAGTCGTTCGAGCCGGATGGTATCCATGATGGATTGGAGTTCCCCACAGAAGCAGAACGGCTCACCCTTAGGCGGGTATCCGATACCCTTCCATGGGCTTCATATCGTGCGTGAACCAATTTACACTACCTATGTTCTGCGACTGAGAATGAATATCGTGTACAGTGATTGCCTTTGTGGAACTTGCTGAACGATTTTCGGTGAGCAGTCTATATCTGTATGAACGTACGACTTACTCGTCACTCCTAGTATTATGGCGCTTCTGTCGTATTTGTATGACACTTCCGATCTAGTGACGATTCCGTACAGAGCGTACTGAAACAATCATTACGTAGACAAATTTTATACAGCAGCCTCTACCTGACGGTTCACACACTGGTGCTGGGGGTGGCGGAAATGGTCAATCAGGTGCATTGGGGAAAGGACAACAGGCGTCGAGTGGCCTTGTTACATTCTACGGGTAAGTTTCGAATGGTTTATATAAATCTCGCCACGATTAACTCCTGTTTTTCCAGTTTTTGGGCCTACGTTGTTCCGCTGTTGTACGTACACTCTGTGCCCCCCCATTTCGTCTATTCATATTCCTTGTTATATCAGAGGCGCTTACATCGCCGATGCCCATTGGGGTAGATACAAGACTATCTTTTGGGCGATTATGATTGCCCTCGTCGGACATATTATCCTGATTGTGTCCGCTGTTCCCGGTGTTATTGAGAAGACTGAGGGAGCTACTGCTTGTTTTGTCATAGGCATGATTGTAACCGGATTTGGTGAGTTGTCCTTTAAAGGGAGGGTAGTATGTTACCAAATGCGGCGCTGGTCAAATTAGGTACAGGACTTTTCAAACCTAATATTTCACCTCTGGTTGCGGAACAATATCGCAAACAAAAATTGTTTATTCGTACTCTTGAATCCGGCGAACGGGTCATTGTGGATCCTGTGTATACAGTTTCCCGAGTTTACATGGTAAATCTCCTTTTTTTCCTTAGTTTTTCCTATCAATACTTATCCCCCTCAGTACTTCTACTTGTTCACAAACATCGGTGCATTGGTCGGTCAAATTTCCATGACCTATGCTGAGAAGGCGAGAATTATCATTAAGTCGCGGTAATTCCTTTTGCTGACATGCCTCTCTTGAAGTATATCGGATTCTGGCTAGCCTACACCCTACCCACAGCAGTTTTCATGCTCTGTCCAATCGTTATGTTCTTAGGTCGCAACAAGTATCAAAGATCACCCCCAGAAGGATCTGTACTTGCGACTGCATTGCATCTTTTTGCGTTTGCTGCACGAGGTAGATGGAGTTGGAATCCCGTCAAGCTATGGAACAATTTCAACACCGATGATTTCTGGGAAGGAGCGAAACCCAGTCGCGTGGCAAACAAGCCTAAATGGATGACCTTTGATGACCAATGGGTGGAGGAGGTTCAGCGTGGCTTGAAAGCTTGCGCCGTTTTTACTTGGTATCCTATATATTGTGCGTCCAGGACCTTCAAAGCGAGACCAATAATCTTGATAGTCTTGCGTAGGGCTGTCGTACAACCAATTAACGAACAATCTGATCTCACAAGCTGCTACAATGGACGTTCATGGAGTACCGAATGATGTCCTGGGTAACTTGGATCCTTTAGCTCTCATCATCTTCATCCCCATCTGCGATCTCCTTGTAAGCCTGATTATTTTCTTGAATTTCTCAATTCTAATTCTTTGCCCCCATACAGTTCTTCCCTCTCCTGAAACGTGTCGGTATCAATTTCACTGCTCTCAAGAAGATCACCGCCGGATTTTTCACTGGAGCTCTTGCGATGATATGGGCCACCGTCGTTCAGTATTATATCTATAAGGCAAGTAGTATGCAATGCGTGCGCAAGGGACCTTGTTCTTACTTGGTCATTAAATATTGAATTCCCAGACCGACCCCTGTGGTAATATGGCAGACTCGCTTTCTTGTGAATCAGTGTCGCCACTCAATGTCTGGATACAAACTGGATCGTACGTCTTTAAGGCTGGTATAAATTATTTACCACTAACATTCCACTTTTTCCGTTGTTCAGATATGTACTAGTTGCCTTCTCTGAGATTTTTGCATCCATTACGGGTCTGGAGTATGCTTTCACGAAAGCCCCGAAGAACATGCGATCTCTTGTAATGAGTGTGTTCTTCTTTCAAAGCGCCCTTGGCTCAGCCCTCTCGGAGGCATGGTTGCGTACGTGTTTCTCGATAAATACTTGCATCATCTAATCGCACCTGCTATCAGCTCTGCTTGTTGACCCCTTGCTCACCTGGAACTATGGTTCTATTGCAATTATATCAACAGTTGGTGGGGTCCTTTTCTGGCTTTCCGTCAGAAAACTGGATATCCAGGAAGACAAACTCAACAATCTGGCTACGGGCCACATACATGCACAAGATCACCCAACTAACGAGAAATCTGTTTGAACGATGTCTATATACGCCCATTTATTTTACAAAATAAATATATCGGAATGCAAAAAGGGAAGAGATGAGGGGGTGACAATGTCTCTAAGAAATGTCCTTTGCTAGGAGAAGGTGAATCCATAAATGCAAATATGTTTTTACAGCACTTAGGTGGCCCCGGCGCAGTGGCCCTACGTTACGGAATTAACACAGGGTAAAAGTTGGTTCAATTACATGCACAAGAGTATCGATGCAAGCTAGCTAGTCAGATATTCTACAATGGACACAGAGAAATTTTACAAAAGGGAAGAACACGACAAAGAAACTACAAGAAAAAAACAGGAGAACATGAGGGAAAACCACTCAGAAAACGAGTCCAAGGTACCAGAACCGGGGATGATTCGGAATCTCAAAGCAGAATACGTGAAGTAAATTATAAATCTCAATCGCGTTCAGCGTTTACCGAGATGTCCAGGGTAGATGAGTTGTCCCACTCCTAGACCTTTAGCCAGTCCCGTTGTAGCACTGTTCAATCCAGGCCCAAGGTCGACATCAGCCTCAGCCAGAGGCGAGAGGTCTACAACAATGTCATTACCAGATGAGTTTCCGCTGCCAGTCGAAGGGACGGGGCCAGAGTCATCAGGGCAAGGTTCGTCGCCAGAAGAAGACGGAGGAGGAGGAGGAGGGGAACTAGACGACCCAGACAAACCGTTTCCGTCACAGTCTTCGCGTTTCCCATTGACATAGTGGCCAGGATATATAACCTCTCCTAATCCAAGACCTTGAGCCGTTCCCGTCGTCGCACTGTTTAATCCAGGCCCTAGGTTGACATCGGCCTTGGCCAAAGGCGAAAGGTCCGCAACAATGTCGCTGCCAGAGGAGCTTCCGGGCGACTGAGCACTAACAGATTTTGGGCCGGAGGGGCAAGTGGATGTCGATTCGGATCCGGCTCCAGTTGAAGGGGTAGAAGGACTGGGAGGAGGAGGATGGTACGAGGAAGAAGATCCACTACCATCTTCACAGTCACAGTCTTGATCGCGCTTCGCGCTAACGAGGTGACCTAAATGAATGATAGGCCCCAGTCCGACGCCGCCAGCAAGACCAGCAACTGCTTCATCTAGACCGGTTCCAAGGTTGACGTCAGCTTCTGTCAACGGCAGAAGGTCAACGACGAGATCATCTCCGGTGGAACTTCCACTTCCAGATGGTTTCGGGACAGCACTAGAGTCAGAGTCATCAGGGCAGGGTTCATCGCCTTCGGAAGAAGACGACGAATGTGTAGGAGACGGCCAGATTGTAGAAGAAGAAGATTGAGGGGTCGGCGAAGGAGAAGAAGACATAGAGTGTGAGCCAAATCCAGATCCATTTCCATCACAATCTTCGTCGCGTTTGCCATTAACAAGATGTCCCGAGTGGATGATACCACCCAACCCGAGACCTTCAGTAGCTCCTGTGACTGCACTATCCAATCCAGGCCCTAGGTTGACATCGACGCTAGCCAGAGGCGAAAGATCAGCAACAATATCGCTGCCAGAGGAACTTCCGGGATGAGGATTGGATCCGGAACCAGAAGGACAAGAGCTACCTGATGAGGTAGATCCTGACCCCGCACTAGGAGATGTAGTAGCGGAAGGTGGAGTCCAGGTAGTGAAAGATCCTGTGCCATGAAAATATCAGCAAACAAATTTTCTGTGACGAAGCCATCATAGCGTACCAGTACTAGTACTAGTAGAGCCGTGTCCATCTTCGCAATCACAATCTTCTTCACGTTTCTCATTAACGAGGTGACCTAGATGAACGATAGGCCCCAATCCCAGACCACCGGCAAGGCCAGCAATAGCACCATCAAGACCAGGTCCAAGGTTGACATCAGCTTTTGCTAATGGCGAAAGGTCAACAACAAGATCATCTCCTGCGGTGCCAGATGGGTTTGGGACAGCGCTAGGGTCATCAGGGCAAGGTTCATCACCTGCTGAGGAAGATGGTAAAGAAGTGGGAGACGGCCAAGACGTGCGAGAAAGTGAAGAAGATGAAGGCGTTACTGGAATGGTGGTGTAATGTGAGCTAGATCCTGATCCATTTCCATCACAGTCTTCTTCGCGTTTGCCATTGACGAGGTGTCCAGAATGGATGATGCCACCCAATCCGAGACCTTCAGCGGTCCCCGTGACTGCACTGTTCAATCCGAGCCCTAGGTCGGCATCAGCACTAGCCAGAGGAGAAAGATCGGCAACAATATCGCTGCTAGTGGAACTTCCGGACGAAAAAGCAGGACTAGACCCAGGCGAACAAGTGCTGACCGACCCTGACGGAGAGCTGGAACCTGCACTAGACGAGGGTGAACCAGATGCCGTACCAGCTGAAGGAGTAGAGGAAGGGCCAGTCCAGGTAGAAGATACTGTTCCCGATGGAAAGACTAGTCAATAAATTTTCAATAAAGAAGACATATGTAAGTACGCACCGGTACTAGTAGAATTGTGCCCATCTTCACAATTACAATCCTCATCGCGTTTACTATCAATGAGGTGTCCAGGATGAATAAGCTTTCCAAGTCCTAGACCCGCAGCGGTTCCGGTTGTTGCACCATCCAAGCCAGGTCCGAGGTTAACATCGGCGTCAGCTAAGGGTGTGAGATCAGCAACAATATCGCTCCCAGCCGAGCTTCCTGATGAAGGAGCTGGGGAGCCAGCATCATTGGAGGAAGACGAAGAAGACGAGGGGGTAGCAGAATGGGGTGGGGGAGGTGTGGAACTTTCACAGTGATCCTGAGATCGCTTACGAAGTCCAAGGCTACCCAAAAGACCGTTGATCAGGTCACCGTAAGTACCAGATGCACTCGAAGATCCGGAAGTGGGGCATGAGGTTGATGGCGGGGGTGGAGGTGGAGGTGGGTGATCTTGGCTACTGCCGCTACCGTCGTTATTACAGCCACAGTCTTCGTCTCTGTTGGAAAGAACAGTGGAGACCGTAGAGGATGCTCCTACCGAAGGAAGAACGTGAACAAAAATGTACAAAATAGCTTATCCATATATATATATAAACTCACCACTAAGATCGCTAAGAGAACCAAGGTCGGTGAGTTCTTTGAGAGAATCGGATGGGCTTGTAAGACTACTGAGAGTACCAGAATTTGAAAGATTGTCAAGACTGCCTATTGTACTCGACAATGAAAGGTCAGTGGTAGAGCTAGCGAGCGGTGCATCCGGAGTAACATGTGTTGCGGTGTCAGAATCAATCCTCGTGGCCGAGCTGGGTAGGACCACTGGAACAGGAGCTCCAAGAGCTACTCGGGGAATAATACGGCTTGAAGGTACACAGCCACCCGTGCCAGCGATATACCCTTTGGCGCATTCGTTTGCAACGCACTGGCCATCTTCGCAGCGGTGACTAAGTGCATGAGGAGACGAGACTGTAGAGCAGTCTTGGCCTCCAACAGTCACACTGTTCTGTGACCAAGGGTGTGCATATAAGCAAGCGCCACCTAATCAGAAGACGGAAGTTAGGAAATGTATCTTGATATGATCAGATACTTACAGCTGTCGTCAGAAGTTTTGATGTCAATGCATTCGAAAGCACGGTCAGAGTCACCAGGAACACCACAAACTCGTTTGTCACCGCAGTATGCTTGAGCGTCGGCAAACGTGAGTTCCTGAGCTGCGCGTTTTTTGAGTGAGCGAGGAAGAGATGATGGACGGCCACCGCAGCCCTTTAAAAAGGAAGACGCGTTAGAAGAAGGCTATATGCTTCTGAAGAGCGACTCACATGAGGGAAATGACCGCAGACGCCATTACAAACTGAGTTGGGAGGAGGGCAGACGCATTCACCACCAGACTTAATATAACCAGAGTCGCATGTGCATGAGCATGGATCCTCGGTAGTGCAAGCACGGTGAGCGTGGGCCGGGAGGGGATCGCAGGCCGGTTGGGATTTAAACTGCACAAGCCTTGGTAAAAGAGAAATATACCAAAAAATGTGAGCAGGACTTACGAAGGTTTTGAGTTCAGCTTCAACCAGGGCCCGAAGACCGAGAATATCGAGGCCAACGTAAGTATCCAGAAAGATATCGAGATCCTGTATAAGGCGGGTTAGTAAACAAACGATGAAACACGCCGTATGCCTTTCCTTTAGACAGAGACAGAGGTGAAGTCCAACAAAAAGTTCCTCGAGCAGCGGGTTGCCATCGACGACTGCGTCGAGGTTGATGCAGATATCAATCAAGTCGCGCGACGAGATGCGCTGAGGACGATACTGGCGTTGAGAAACAACTTCTCGTTCGTGCAGAGCGAGATGACGCCCAGCCTCTCTATGACGACGACGAGCATCAACAGAAGAGCAGAAAAGAGGAAGAGAAAAAAGGAATGTGGGAATGAGGTTTTTCAACCTCATCTTCGCAGAAAAATTTTTGGGATCTGTTAATGAAAGTCGAGCGAAAGGATGGTGGTGGCAGTTGAACGAAAGAGTTCTGGGGACCCTCTGTTTGAGAACGAAGTCTTTATATATCGCAAATGGTTTAAAAATACGCTCAAATAATCGCTTGGACTAAAAAGTCAATAAGCTTGCCTTATTTGTACTGACGTGCTTCCTTTTTGACTTTACAGGTCGCAACGAAATGACCGCCGTCAAACATATGCGGAGATATTCTAGATCCTGGATAGTGGTGAGTGAATCGGAGTTTATTTCTCCCGCATATACTCGAGGATGTGCAGTGAATCAGGCGAGTTCCGCTTCTTCACAACGAGGAAGCAATTCCAACGATGATAGAGGTGCAACGAGAGAGCCGAATGACGCGAAAAAGTTGACAGAACACCCGCTGGCACTCTTCTTTTAAAATTCCATTGTGGCATATGCATCGTATTCGTAGCCGAACGGTGTCAATGAAGTTCATTTTAGTGACTAGTAGAAACCTGCTTTAATAATGTTTGATCATTAAATTTGAGTTGTAGTAGAAGAGCACAGTTGCGAGAGCCTACACCTACACCTAACTACGTCAATCTTTCTTTTCAATTTCAGGATCCCGTCCCACTTCTGCCTCGAACTTTACTAGGGGACACGACATTGGTCACAGCAATGGCCATCTCAGCTGGGAGCAGTAGGACGCTATTTCAAATTTTCAGGTCGACCTCTAGAAAAGAATTCAAATTGACATACAGTTTTCTTACGGGTGACGCGCATTCGACGAGCCCTCGGAATCATGTCAACAATGAATGCTCCGGATAATCGTACGCCAAACCATGACCGATGATGACCGGTGACCGTTAAACGAAACGTTGAACATTGAAAATGATCTTCAGTTTGTATGTCGCAAGCTCCTAATAAAGAAAATCGCAGCACGCCAGGTTAGAAGAAATCACGTGCTTAATACTCATCTTTCATGATCACCCGGTCCCTCTACTCGTAACTCCTACCAAGTAGAACCACAAAGTACACTAATATCGACTCTTTATGTCCAACCTCACGCCAGACGCAATATATAATTCCTTGTTGAACCTCGGCTTACCCCAAGGCTCAGTGACCCTCGATGACTTTTCGCGTATCTATCGACATGGTGGACCTCTTCAAGACGCGATTTTATTCATCAGTGAACATTTCAGAGGGAGGGGAGGTGTACATGAGGCGCGCAGTGGCTTGCTCTGGTGAGTCCTGGCTGCGTATCGAGGCGTGGCTCGGCGTATACCGTGTGCAGTCCATCTAACATGCGCCAATTCAGCGCTTCAGAATCTCGCGATGAATCACAAATAAATCCGGCTCGTCTACCCGGAAACATCGCATCTTTGCGGCTAACCAAGTCTAAGAAGGATGCGGAGATGTATTCAAATGTGCTTCACAATAAAATAAAAGCGGCGGAGGAAACGCGTATGTTATCGCTCTGAATGATCTTGAATACACCCTGACTCAACACATCGACATTCCACCTATTATATCATTCAAAACCTTTGAACCTACTCGTACTCTGAACCGTGCCCAGAAAAACAGATCAATATCCTCAAATCACAGCTCACAGCGCAAAGACAGGTAGATCTGTTGTTGGGAATCCTGGAGAAAAAGGAAAAAGAAAGGATTAGACAATTTAAGGACATATTTCGTTTGCTGATCGAACTGAAGAGGCCCGTTATCCTTATTCCTACTTCTCCCAATCTCCTGACATGACCTGCGATCTATTCTCAAGGAAAGTCCTTCATGACCAAAGTATATCCAAACTCGAAGAAGTCATACAGTTGATACAACTTTTTGAATGTGAACCCTCCCCCTCTGGCCCAAATTCAAATTTGAACTTGAAAAAACCACGCCAAACTCAGGATGCGCTTCTGGTATGACCTTAGCGGCACCATAAACCCCATTTCTCACTCTCGTGAACATATATTATGACAGGTATTGAACGCATATCACGTCTGCCTTGCGAGATTGGCGGCACAATCTACTCAAATTCTAGAAACCTCTCAAACCACACGAGATACGCGGGCTCGCCCCAACTCCCCTGTTCCGTCTGACACAGTTTCAACGCGAAACGCAGCTAGGAAACCCTCCGTCCCCGTTGCCAGTAACAATGCCAACGTGGTTGTTACTCCAAGTGCAAGTGCTGAAGTCCAGCTTCGAGCTTTGGTCGCTCGAAAGCTAGGTGTGGAAGGTGGCAACGAGGACCCGGAAGTGGAACGGGTTTTGTAAGTGAAATTTCCGTCTCAGTTTCTTACTTACATACCCAGAACTATATCTGCACTCGTACCGCACTCGTCTAACCTGCTTCCAACGATATTCAAATGTGCTTTTATCCTGAATTTATGCTAACGACCGAACATCATAGCCAAGGATTCATTAAAGTCGCGAAAGCTCGAGCGAGAAACCAAGTTCGATACACCGGCAACATGGGTATTGGAGAACCAGTTTCAGAGGAAATTTTGGATACGTTAGCGGCTGAGGTGGTGAGTAGATGCTTTCAATTCAGGAACAACTGTTATGGACCCCGTCACTCTATATTACATTATTCTTTCCATTTTACTTGATTCCTTCCACATAACATATACAGAATAGAAAAACCCAGATACTGCAACATGCTTCTGACCTTTCACTTGAACTGGCTTGTGGTACTGAACATGCCCTCGTAACAGTAAGGCATCTCTGCCGTCGTCTGAAAGAGAAGTTGACCGTCTCTGCAGATATCGAAATTTCAAAAAACGACAATATCGTCCTTTGAAGAAATCCTGAACTCTCAATTGAGTTCCATACGCAGTTACATCGACCACCTTCGTATCTATGTCGTAGCGGATTCTCAGAGAGACGCTCAACAGGGTACCCAGAACTCGGAGTCGCTTGTCCCAAACAAATCCCCGACGCGTGTAGAGCCCGATTTCGGTCACGAAGTGAGAAAGATCTTGGGACTGAGCGAGGCAGAGGTACGATTTAGATCAAAAATTCAATGCATCAGAGTCGCCTGAACTATGCGTTTGATGTATGTTCGCACTACAAAGACCTCCAAGAAAGTGCTTGCAGAGATCGGACGATTAGTCAACACTAGTACGTCCTTTTCACTGATCCAACCCCTTTACAATCTGCGAATTCTTGCTGTGCATACAGTACAGCACAAATCTCAATACCTCGAAGCGATGCAAATTCGCCCTCGTGATCTTTCCTCCCAACGCGCAAGAGAAACAGAAACAATAGGTGACCTCTTCTCGACTTTGGATTTAATCCCCCCTTCATTCACCATCTTTTTTTCACTGTTCCACTGACAGCATCCTACGAATCGCAAAAGCAACAGATAGAAGACACCATCGAAAAACTCTTGATCCGTAAGATTGATAAAGCGGACTCGCTGGGGCATAGCTTGGTGCGGGATATTGAGGCGCTGTTGATAGGTATCGATGATATTGTAGGGCATGGTAACTCCGGGAGGGACGACTGCAATTCTAAAAACATGACCGTAGTACGAAGTCATTCCAATCATACTTAAAAGTCACAAATAATCAATATGTACATGCTCAAGAGTGGCCTGTTCATGCTTCACAGCTCAATTTGTTTGAATATTCAATAGCATGGACCGGCTGCATCTCAGGTATACATAGGGCTTGGCTTGGGAGATACTACTAAGAGTGAGTTTAATTGACGCAGACATAAAGTAAAGGGACCGGGGGAATGTCATAGTTTAAAAAACGAAATAAAAACCAATGCATACAGAAGAGCATGGTGCCTTGATGCTTCATTCATCACATGCAGTCAAAGTTCTACTGTCTACGTTGAGGGGTGAGTCTTGAAAAAGTCCTCCCTTATCACACGAGCGCGATGGTTGTATTTCTAGACGATGGTGTTAACGACTAAACTTTTCAGATAAAGAGGAAGTGAACATTCACCTCCTTTTCTTCCACGGGCAAAGCTCGCCAAGCTGCTCCTGCGTTCTTAGATAGTTGTGGCAAACTCACGTCGTCCGAAGGAGTGGTTTGACGGTATTCGCTGTAGAAGCTGGATTGAAGCAAGATTAGACACTACATTGCAACGGGTACAGTCGCTGAAATATACTTACTAGATAAAACCATTGTGGGGGGGCGTTTTCATACTTTTTGGTCTTCGTATCAGGTGTTTGCCCCTCTCCTTCCTCTGAATGTTGATCTGACGAACATATCCAGGGGGAAGTGAGCGGAACCACTGATCGTATCGTTTCTCGAAGGCCTCCTTGTTTGCTTGGATGGGTACGGAGTAGGGCTAGTAAAGGAGCCAATTAGTTTGGTTGGCGACACATGTGAGATAGAGTAACAGACCTGCTTCTGAGCATCGGACAAAGCATTCCATTCCTTCGAAGCAGTCTTAATGAGGTCCCTCACGGGGATCTTGTTTTGCAGGCCATTGGCCATGTACTCTTTCGTGAACACAGCGTATGCCGTCGTACCGTGTCTCTTGGGTACAACCATCAATTTTCGGTCGACTATGAGAGTTCGGATACAGGATGAGTTATGCTCTGAAGAGGCGGAGGAATAAAATTATACATACACTTCGGTTTTACATTAACTTTCTTGACGCGCTCTGTTGGGGTAATCTTTTTCTTCACCGCAGGGACCTTCTTCGCGCTTGTGCCTTTAGCCTTCGGCTTGTCTACATCTTTGGCCTTGACCTTAGGCTTGGCTTTAGTCGTTGGCAGATGAACAGAGGCAGTAGTCAAAAAAGTACGCAAGGATATCGCCGTCGTACGCGAGAATACTGGACCTGCTAAGGGACGCGTAAGGCGAGTTCCAGCAAGACGAAGTGCAAATTTTGCACTAAGAAGAGACATCATCGAATAAGAGTGGATGAAGGCGAATCTTTGGACAAAAAGGAGAGGATCAAGTCAATACTAGTAGGAAGGAAAACGAAAGTTAAATCGAGACCGTGGTTTGTCTGATCATGTGACTGATTACATGCTAATGTCAGGGGGTCTCAGCAATGAGCGATCCTCCACTTAACTTTCACAATGTCTGCGCCAGTCGTGGCTTCAGAGCTTCCTACGTTTAACCCGTCGTCACTTCCTGTAGCACAGCTAGAGTCATTGCGCTTCAAAGCCAATCAGATCATTGAATCTATCAAAGCGTTACAAATGAATATTGATTTCCATCCCACTGCGATATCATCTTGGCCTGATATATTATCCAAATACAACCTCCTGCTATCTCAAACACACAACTTCTCCTCCTCTCTTTCTACCCCACTTCCCTCCAGTGTATCTGCGAATGGTGCAACATTTGTTAATGGCACCGGCACAGGCTCCAGTACCAAGTCTAGTCCATTCGAAAAGATTGCACTACATCCCCGTGTAGCTGTAACAGATATTCAACTTGACACAGAGATCATTCCTCTCCTGCGTAATCAGCAGACTACTGACGTTTTGAACGTGGAAAACGACATCGTACGCAGATTGTCAGAACATATGGTAACTCGTGGTTCGGTCGGCGTACTGAGCGGAGTGCCCATTCCACCACCACCATCCCATTTGCACTCTTCCGGGACCAGTACATTCGGCTCAACTTTCTCTGCTGCTCATCTTGCTCATCGCAAACCAGAGTACGAAGACGTTCTGCAGGAATGCGAGCTGATCCGCGCTGATCATGACCGTCGTGCTGATCGCGCAGTGAGGGCCGTTTTGCTTTTGCGAGAAAAATTTGAGTGGAAAACTAGGGTTGCAGTGGAAGTGGAAGAACCGGAAGAGCTGAGCTGGGATCCCGCAGGAAGGCGAGGGTCAACTAAGATGTCTATACAGGCTGAGGAGGAGGGCGCAGAGTCGGAGGGGGATGAAGGGAGCAGCGAGGAGGATGAAGTGGAAGGTCATCTTGTGCGGGATGATACAGAGCCTGCGGTGTCCACGCAAACAAGCGGCGACACAGACATGGGTTGAACACAAATCTCGGCTCCATCCACGTTACATTTAGCAAAATTAACAGAGGGGGCGGAAGGCAGTTGAGACCAACGTTTGCGGGAGATATTGCAAGCTGATCTACTTCTACTGACTCAATCAGAAGGACGAACCAACGACGTTTCTTGAGGATTTTTGCAATTCATCAGATATATGGAACCTCAAGATTTGCCAGTGTGGAGGCAGGATATTTCATCAACCGAAGCATAATGAGCTGGTATATCCACTACGTATAGCCGCGTTGTAATTGTTTGCCATTCTTTGATAGCGAAACTTGAAAGTCTCGGCCGAAGCAAACGCATTGACATTGGCACATTGGCATTGTGCGATACCCTTATAATTGCTTGAGTACTGAATGAGTATCACATACTGAGTAGCAAACCTCGCTACCGGAGTTCCAGATAGTCTACATATAGGTCGTTCCGTCCCCCTTGTCAGTAGTCTGAAAACTGGTGATAATTCCGATCCTTCAATATGAAATGTCGGGATAACTTTACTGAGGGATGTTGGAAAACCCGTGGAATCTGATTGGCTGGCCCGGCAATAAAAGGCAAAACTCGGAACAAGCTATCTCTGACGTCTACTACCATCTTCATTTTTTACTTGCTCGTCGTCTTGGACGATGTTCAACCTCTCCCATCGTACCGCAAATGCCGTGCGGCGGCTGGCTGCTGGTATGGCCACCGCTGCACCCAGAATTGGTGATACCAAAGTTCCGATGTCGCTACTTGAGAAAGGCGCGTACATCAACTACCAAAGGATTGAAGACAATCTAGCTATCGTTCGTGACCGGTGAATATCGACACCTTCGATATATATCCTACCTCTGATCTGTTTTTCTTCCTTTTTCAGTCTCAGCCGTCCTTTATCGTTGGCAGAGAAGATCGTGTATGGCCACCTTGATGACCCTCATGGTCAGGACATTCAGCGAGGAGTCAGCTACTTGAAGCTCAGACCTGATGTACGCGTGCTTTCTACTCATTACTACTCTAATATTTACAAAATTCGGTGTCCCTAGCGTGTTGCGTGTCAGGATGCTACTGCCCAGGTATGAGCGCATCTTTCGCTATTGGTCTATTTACGGTACTTAACTTGATGCTAGATGGCCCTTTTGCAATTCATGTCTGCTGGAATGGACACTGCTGCGGTCCCTACTACCGTACACTGTGACCACTTAATTGAAGCTCAAATTGGCGGTGTGAAGGATTTAGCTCGGGCTATTGACATCAACAAAGAGGTTTACGATTTCTTGGCTACCGCTACTGCTAAGGTGTGGACATCGTTAATATCATTCATAATTGTCTGTTGATACGTTTCCGCGTAGTACGGTCTTGGTTTCTGGAAACCCGGTTCAGGTATTATTCACCAGATCATCCTCGAAAACTATGCATTCCCCGGAGGCATGATGATTGGTACAGACTCTCACACTCCTAATGCCGGGGGGCTTGGTATGGTTGCTTGCGGTGTCGGTGGTGCCGACGCGGTTGATGTCATGGCTGGTCTTCCTTGGGAGTTGAAGTGTCCAAAAGTAATCGGTGTCAACCTGACTGGAAAAATTAGCGGCTGGACTACACCCAAGGGTACATAATAGACCACGCGTTTAATCGGTTTCTGACCGCTTTTCATAGATGTTATTCTCAAGGTCGCTGGCATTCTTACTGTCAAAGGTGGAACGGGAGCTATCGTTGAATACAAAGGTCCTGGTGTCGAGTCGTTGTCCTGTACTGGTATGGCCACGATCTGTAACATGGGTGCAGAAATTGGTGCCACAACTTCGATGTTCCCCTTCAATTCTCGGATGAGCGACTATCTCAATGCGACCAAGCGCGGCGACATTGCCAAATATGCTCAACAATTTGCTCACAATCTGAAAGCTGATGAAGGTGCTGAGTATGATCAACACATTGAAATAGTATGTTGCTTCTCCATTTTGCAAGCTAGTTGATACTTATCGCCCTCCGCAGAACCTTTCGGAGCTGGAGCCCCACATCAATGGTCCTTTCACTCCTGATCTCGCTACTCCACTATCCAAATTCGCTGAGGAAGTGAAGAAAAATAACTGGCCTGAGGAACTCAAAGTTGCTCTCATCGGTTCTTGCACAAACTCTTCTTATGAGGATATGTCTCGTTCTGTTTCCATTGTCAAGGAAGCCTCTGCGCATGGCTTGGACGTCAAGAGCAAATTTACCATCACCCCAGGTTCTGAACAAGTCCGTGCTACTATTGAACGTGATGGTCACATTGCTGCTTTTGAGAACGTCGGTGGTCTTGTACTGGCTAACGCTTGCGGACCTTGTATCGGTCAGTGGGACAGGCAAGATGTTAAAAAGGGCGAAGCTAATTCAAGTACGTTTATCCCGGAAATGCGAGCGTGATCAACTATCTGATATCGTCACATAGTCATCACTTCTTACAATCGTAATTTCACTGGGCGTAACGACGCGAATCCCGCTACTCATGCTTTTGTCGCTTCTCCTGACGTCGTCACTGCCATGGCATTCGGTGGATCCCTTACTTTTAACCCAATGACTGACTCTCTGATTGGTTCTGACGGCAAGCCTTTCACATTTTCCGAGCCTCGCGGCGATGAACTTCCCCCTCGTGGCTACGACCCAGGTCAAGACACTTTCCAGCCTCCTCCCACTGATCGTGCCAGCGTATCAGTTGCTGTTGACCCCAAGAGTGACCGTCTTCAATTGCTACACCCGTTCGCACCCTGGGATGGAAAGACCCCTACCGATTTGCCAATTCTGATTAAGGTCTCGGGGAAATGCAGTCAGTCTTTTCGATCTCAGCCTTTACTCCTGATTTTAAAGAACTGCATGTAGCAACTGATCATATCTCTGCTGGTGGACCTTGGCTTAAATATCGTGGTCACCTTGAAAACATCTCTCGTTAGTAGACTCGTCCTCTATTGTCTACGCCCATGTTTCTCAACTTTGCTAACAGAGAACTGTTTGATTGGTGCAATCAATGCCGAAAACAACACGGCGAACAAGGTCAAGAATCAAATGACCGGCGAGTATGGTGGTGTTCCTCAGACTGCAGCGTACTACCGTGACCACGGCATCAAGTGGGTTGTCGTCGGCGACCACAACTACGGCGAAGGATCCTCCCGTGAACACGCTGCTCTAGAACCTAGATTCCTTGGCGGATTGGCCATCATCGTTAGGTCTTTCGCTCGTATTCACGAAACCAACCTGAAGAAGCAGGGGATGCTCGCTTTGACATTTGCTAACCCAGAGGACTACGAAAAGGTCAAGCCTAGCGACCGTGTCGATATCCTTGGTCTTGATTCGTTTGCTCCGGGCAAGAACTTGACTTTGGTGTTGAGGCATGAGGACGGATCGAAGGAGGAAGTTCCCCTCGCTCATTCCTTCAATGAGGGTCAAATTGAATGGTTCAAGGCCGGCTCTGCTCTTAATCTGGTAATTATGTTTTTTTTACTCATCTTGTTCAATACTTACATGGATCACAGATGGCGGCTCAATCCAAGAACTAATAAACTATCCTGTAAGCTATGTGCATTGTCAATGCAGAACTACTTGCAATTCGACAGCAGGATGGATGGATTCATAGATGCCCCTACTATTCAAGGGAGGCTTCATTCAACACAGTGGAAGGTGTATTAAAATTATGTCCGTTTCGGCTCTATCTTTCTTCATCCCAATTGCTTCAGCAATACGTATCTTCGTTGTCTCTTGAACCTTGTACGCTACTGCTAGAGTTGTGTAGGCATAATGACCATGAATAAACGAAGATTAATTAACCTCTAAAAGCGCTTATTAGGCGCCTGTAGGACTAGATATTTTTTTCCATTTGCAACTTTCATGTTGACCCAGGGTTGACCAATGGACACAGTCTTGTCTTCAGCGACTCCCTCAGCAACCGATGTTAATTCCTTTCTTTCCGCCGCAGAGAAGGAAGCACTCAAGGCGGCTACATTTCAAAGACTACATCCTCAAATATACTTAGAACGTTTTCTTGAAGAGAAGATCAGACCAGATGGAAGATCTATTGCTGATGATGAGAATGAGGACACACATGCATGGAGGAATGTCGAAGTCAACGTCGGTGGGGAACCAATTTTTCTACTGCTTTTCCAGGACTCTAAAGTCAGTATTTTCGATTGTCGTTTCACCAGGGTCGATAACAACCACCTCTGGGTCTGCACTCGTTCGTCTAGGAAACACGACCGTTGTATGTGGAGTCAAAGCCGAAATATGTGAACCAGAGCTGGATAATTCAGATGAAGGATTTCTCGGTGAATTTATGTTCCTTGTTTCTTATCGCACCCTTGGTCTGATATTTCACGTCCAGTTCCTAACGTCGATTTGCCTGCACTGTGTTCACCTAAATTCAAAACCGGCCCGCCCACAGAAGAAGCTCAGGTGCTTTCTGAAAGGTTGAATGAAGTCCTTGGGAATGGCATGATCCCGCTGTCGTCGCTATGTATATATCCAGGAAAATCGGCCTGGGTTCTATATGTTGATGCAACGGTCATCAACTATGACGGGAACGTTTTCGATGCAGCTTTATTGGCTATGGTGTGTGCTTTGAAGAACGGCAAGTGAAGTTCTGGTTGATAATTTTACCCATTTTTCAACGTATCGACAGTCTCTTTACCTCATGCCGAATTCAACCCAGAGCTCAATCGCACGATTTGCACACGTCCAAAATCTGATTCATCGAAGCCCGCTCGCAAATTGATCATAGAGGAGGATCTGGTCCCATTGTCTTTTTCCTTTGGTGTTTTCGCTGGGTTAGTCCTAATATCGCCTTCCTTTTTCATTCCCGCTGTTTGTCTTTGTTCAATCGCTCTATTTATTCAACATCAACGTTATGCATATCTCTTTCAGATCCTACCTCTTACCCGATCCAACCGCCTCCGAAGAATCACTTCTTGACACAACTATCTCAATAATCCTTAACACGCGCGCTCGAATCCTTGCTCTTTCTCAGCTTGGAACCGGTGTGGATAAATCTGAGGCTCCAGGCCAGGGCGTGGCCGATATACCTCATACGCGGGAAGCAGATACATTGGCCAGATGTATATCCCTTGCGAAGAAGCGCCAGGCTGTTATAATGAAAAAGGTGTATGATACCTAGGATCGATATCTCATTTGCGGAGACAGCCAAGTCTTCTTACGGCCGACAAACAGCGAACGCAGTGAATATACCCAGGCAATATAATCGTAAGTACACTAGAAGGTGGTACCTTCGTGTATGTGGTGGGCGGAACGAAAACTTTCATACGAACCTTCAAACGAGATTCACGAGCTTAACAAACTTTTGGGGCCAAGAAAGTTGGAAAAATGCACATCCGCGACGGAAGTAATAGTCCTTACGACTGTTCCGCCGATACAGTTCAATATTATATACTAAATCTCACTTGTGCAATAACTTGGAGACTGTAACGATCGAGGTAATATGTCAACATCGAATATTGATCATCGATAGAAATGTTTACTATAAACTACAACTTCAGTTAAAGCACACTTTGTCAAACTCCAGCGGGACCACCAAGAGGAATACTCTTGGCTGCAATTTTGGCCAGATACATCTTAGTTTCGGCCAAAATGACCAATCGACCATCCCCCGCGAAAATCATTTCAGCGGTACTCATACCCAAAAAGAATTTTCCAAGCAGAGTTCCATCAGGAGCCCATACCTGCGATATGACATTCAGCATCTGTTCATCTTCAACCAGTATAGTCGTTACCAAGTCGTTACTGACCTGAGTTCCATCAGCGCACCCGCTGTAGATATTACCATCGCTGTCCAGTTGAATCCCATCAGGGACTCCCGCGTCCGCGTAAGCTAAAACTCGTCGATTTTTGAATGCATGAGTAACTGGATCCACGTCGAAGGCATAGCTTGAGAAATGATTTTTTTAGAAGCCAGAAAATGCAATAGTATATCAAACGCACATAGAGGCCGGTAAAGTCAGATTGTTTCCGAGAAAACCGCCGGACGCCCCAGTATCAGAGCTGGGAAAACGTACAACGTCATGTTGCTTGTACTCGCACACAATGATAAACTCACACATAGACAGTATTTCCGTCAGGAGTGAACGCTATCCCGTTGGGTTTATTGAACCCATCTGCAACAACTCGCACTGCGCTGGTGACTGGGTCAAATCGGTAGACTTGAAATGGCATGAGGGGAGCCGGGCGGAAAAGGTTGAGAAATCCATAACTAAATTAGCAATGGCATGAGGTCGTCCCGCTTGAGTGAAAGAGGCACGCACTCTACATCTGTAAAGAATAATTTTCCGTTTGTTGGATGAACCTTGATGTCATTCAAGGAGACAAATTGTCGACCAAAGTAATTGTCCAACAGCACGGTAACATTATAAGGGGGCAATGGGTTCACAAGCACGATAGAAGGTGGTAAAGATCCACGTCCAGATGTGACTAGGAGCAAAGATGAGTTGTATGGCCCTGTTCCTCCGTTTGTCATCTGATACCAGTTGTATTTCAGTGAAGATGCAGATCTGAGCCTGAGGTAAAGCAAGTGTCAAACCTGTATGCTGTCTGAGAGATTCAGCTATACGAATATAGACGAATATACATCAACATATATACAACGTTGACACCTCTGGGAACTTACTTGAGTTATAGGAACATTGACTGGCCCCGTTGCATTCGCGGATAAAGCCGCCTCAACTTCCCTCATACTAATTTTGCTAATTACATTGTTGTGGTTGAGGTCGCTCATTCCAAGAGGACCTAGACTCCGCATTTAGAAAGCTTGAGCATAGTTTGTGAGTGACGCTTACCTCCATCATTTGAAGAAAAGAAGACCTCATCGGTGGGTTCATTGTAGACAGGTGCCTCATGTGCAAAAGCAAATGTCGCGTTGGACGCGATCTCACGGAATGATGGAGCATCTCCAAGGATGGCCAAAAATCTTTGGTCGAAAATCTGGAAAAATGGTGGTGTAGTCGAGGTTGGATTGAACAGCACGGTGAAGGAATCGTTGCGGAAGTCTGCATTTGGACCCATCACGGCGAACGAGCGGGGATCAACAAACTATAAAGCAAAGATTCAGGATCTGGTACGAAAAGAAATGACATACAAGCCCACGACAGCTTGAGAAGGCAACTGCGACTCGTTAACACTGGCGAAAATGCCTGTGAAAGCGGTAACAACAGCGATACTGGTGACAATCCTAAACAGGCCCATCGTCATGGCTAAGAGTAAGGAGGAGGAAGAATCCTTAGAGAGGATCCCAGGCTTTGTAGGATCCAACGATAGGCTGTACCGCGTGACAAGAGGAAGGTAATATGACCCCAGAATGCTGGAGACGAGGAGGAGGAGGGACCTCCCTGTATTGACCCAGAGTCCCGGAGTCAGGTTTGATGATGTCGCTGGAGCTCGCTCCCCAGTTTACGCATAGTATATCCAATGGAAACAGACACATATGATGATACATACTATGCATATGCAAGGATTCGCCAGCTTCAGGTAAAGAAAAAATCCCATACACTATTCGAGTTAATCTTGAGTAATAACCATTCCGACTTGATATCACATTTGAGAGGTGTAGAACTTAGTCAATTCAACGAAATCCTGCTGATGCTGAACACGAAGATCCCGGAGCGGCGAAAGTCGTCGGTGTCGCGTGAAGCCACATGGCTCGAGATAATTGCATATCGGAAGAACGCATGTTCTTCTTCCTCTTCCTTCTCACAGTGCCACTCGCAATGCATTATTTGATCATACGTGTTCTTCAACGTATTTTCCGGCCTTTACCGTAACATAATGCCCTGCTGTTTCTGTCGGGAAATATCGTTATGCGTTCTGACCAGTGGACTTTTCTTTGAATGGCTTTTCCAGGACTTTCCCATTATGACCAATCCTCGTTGAATTCAGGATTCAGGGTACTATAGGAATGATGATGCTACACGGACTTCCAAATGAGGTGTTGAGCGTGTCAAGCTCTTGCTGGTGTCTGGTTCAAAGTGTATGCCGCAGGTGTGCCGTTATCTCTTTCATAGTTCGTGTCTTGTTCTGATGGATTTTACAAAGTGCAAAAATTAATATTTTTGAACTTCCGATTGGGTGGACAATTGCCTCAGCCCGCCTCCCTTCAAAAATTTTGCCCAAAGATATGATAATCTTGACGGCCCAAAGTCGGTATTAAACTTATCCTAATCCGGGTGTTTTAATGGTGATAGAAGATGCCCCTTCTTTTCCAGGACTGCTTAAAAACTGGAATGCTATGAATGCAGCGATCTCGGTCGGAATCAACACCTGGACCGCGTCCATGCTTTTTGTTGACTAAATATCATACTGCTATTCGGTGCAACCTGGTGCAGTCTATTTCTACTTCTACGGGAATATTCCTTCTCTGTTTCGACGAACAAGCTTTATTTACCGAGCCACCATCTCCAATATTGCAACGCTGCCCCTTGTGTTGTCTGATATGTCGACGTTTACGAAGGATTTCCCAACCATCACTGGCTTACGGTGGTTCAATATCGCTGTCCTTAGTATAACGCCGTCAATTGCACTCGCTGGCTCGTTATTGGTTCCTTTCCGATCCCAAACAGTGTGGTTCTCGGTCCTTCATTATGTATTTACCATGCTGGGTGAGAACCTCCTTTTTGCCCCTTGTTCGTTCTGACTTCCTTGCCAATAGGCATTACCGCCGGTAGGCTTCGACGTTTGGTCTTCTGAAGCATATGATACTCACGCACGCAACCTCGGAAGGCTATCATCGCCTGTGGTCTCACAGAGCCTATACTGCTTCCCTTCCTCTCCAATGGTTCTTGATTATCGGTGGAACCAGCGGTGTTCAGGGGTCTTGTTACTGGTGGGCTCGAGCTCATCGATCCCATCATCGACATACCGATACTGACTTGGATCCATACGACTCCAAGCGCGGTCTTTTTTGGACTCATATAGGTTGGATGATTTTTGAAACAAATCTACATACCGGAACAGCAGATATCTCGGACCTCAAGAGGGATTCACTCATCCAATTCCAACATCGTCAGTATTTTTCGCTTGCGTTATTGTTCGGAATTGTGGTCCCGTGGGTCATTCCGGGGGTTTTCTGGGGCGATTGGTGGGGAGGATTCTGCTTTGCCGCTGCTTTACGGCTCACTGTGGCACATCATGTACGTCGATGGTCACGTCTCAAATCCATAGATCATTCACCGAACGAGTTCCTCAACAGAGTACATTTTGCATCAATTCGATCGCCCATTACCTTGGATCAACACCGTATGATGACAGACTAAGCCCCCGTGATCATCTACTATCAGCTTTATTGACAATGGGTGAAGGATATCACAATTTTCATCACCAATTTCCTATGGATTACCGCAACGCGTATATGTGGTATCAGTACGATCCTACGAAGGTCGGTCTTGGCTGATCTTTACATTCAGTTTTTCTGACGTCCCAAAGTGGTTCATCGCATTTTGTAGAACAATTGGCCTTGCAAGAAATCTACAGAGATTTCCGAGTAATGAAATTCAGAAGGGTGCTCTTACTATGCAATTGAAGGCTCTGAAGAAAACTCAAGATTCGGTCAAATGGCCGGCTCCAATTGAAGAAATACCAGTTGTCAGTTGGGAAACATGTGAGTATCATACCATATCGAAAGGCATACTCAAATAAATTTATCCAGTCCAAGAAGAGTCGAAATCGCGCACACTCATCCTCGTTTGCGGCTTCATTCACGATGTTTCGTCATTTATTGAACAACATCCTGGAGGCCCTCGCTTGCTTACACAAAATTCAGGTCACGATATGACTGCTTCGTTTTTCGGAGGGTTTTATGCCCATTCGAACGCTGCTCATAACGTACGATTCTTTCTATTGTTTCGCATTGCGCCGCTACTTATTAAAGGCCCACAGTTACTAGCAATGATGCGAGTGGGGATACTCGCTGGGGGTGTAGAAATGCCCGCGGAGCGTGCGATCCCCCCCTCACAACAGTTGTATATCGCGGAAAGACTTCGACAATAGACATAGATATCTCCTTATGATACCCTCGCATAGCTGTACGTAGTCGTATATGCAATGTAATGCATATATATCTCGAAACAGTTGGACTGTTGAGGCCAATCTTTTGGGGTAGGACATCGGCCCTCGCTATTCGGATTTCCACTTCAGTCTTTAGCTTCACAGTTTGTTCTTCCTGTCAAATATCTTGACGCGCTGTGCTCACTACCTTACTTCTTCAGGATAATGCTCGGAGGTCACGGGTTATTATAGCTAAACCAAGTCTCATGTCGCGTCTTTTGGGTAAATCTGTCTGTCATGTCTGTGTGTCTACCACCTCCATTTAGCGTCCCGATGTCGTTATTCAACAGTAAGGGGACGAACATTTGTTATACATTCATGGGTAGGTGCGATTTAGCTTCAAATTGCTCATGCCTAGTTTAGTGCGTCTAGGTTCCGCGGAGATCCCTTACATGAAGTCAGTATCGACACATTCAGGAGACTCATGCTCGACTTTTCTATGAAGCTTATCATTTTGATGGTTAGCGCCGTCCTAACCTTTCTCATCATCCGAAGCAGTGGCCCGGGATATATGAATAAAATAACGGATATACTTGGAGGGTGGACAACTACTTTCCCCGTTTTCAACCATGACTCGCAATCCGGCTATTATGCCTTCCATCCAGGATGTCCCCTCCAATCTATCAGTGCCTCGCTTTCTGTTGGATGGGTATTGCCACGCTACGCGTCCAGAAAGACCCAAGGAAATACCGTGCCTCATAGATGATACTACTGGCGAGAAGGTGTTTATAGAGGAGGTGTGTATCCACGTTGCTTATGCTTTGTATTATCCGACTTTATCATTGTAGCTGCGAGCGCGAACACAATACCTTGCTTCCGCTATTAACGTGAACTGGAATCTCAGTACGTTCTCTGTATCTCTTTGGGATTATACTTAGCGGCTGTTATAGAGGAGGGAGAAATCGGTGAGACCCTACATGAGCCGTTACAACCGGAAATATCAACTCCTCCTTCCTGCTAGTTGCAATCATGAGCTTCAATCACATCAGTACGTTTTCCCTAAGTATCATGACGCTGTTACTGGAGCCTCGTCGTCGCTGTCAGATTTCCCTCCGTGCGTGTGGGCTACCCACAGGTTAGGTGGTATAGTGGCGTCAGTAGTCTTGTATTCCTGGGGTAGTATGTCAATTGACCGTCCTCTCAGGACTTTGAGCCCAAGCCTTTCCGTTGGCGAATTAGGTATTCGCTCGTTTTCGATACTTACTTCTGTTACTGACTTCTGACAGTGCACCATTTAAATATTGCCCGGCCTACTTTGCTCTTCGTGCATTCGGATTGTTTTACTACCGCCTATCAAGCAGCGTCCGCGATCCTTCTTCCTCTCAGCAAGATCGTTGTCCTGGACGGATCGACATCCGTTTTTGTGCCGTCTCAATTGCATTCATACCGGTCTTTCGATAGCCTGATTAAACAAGGATCTCTACTACCTCCTGTAATTGAGAAGCCATTCAAAGACGGCGAAGCGAAGACGCGGATTGCGTTTCTTGCCCCTTCATCGGGTACCACAGGTGTCCAAAAGGTGTTCCGTATCATAGACTTAACTGAAGTTAGCCTTACTGACAGCATGTTCAGGCAGTCGCAATTTCCCATTTCAATGTTATCAGCATTGTTATGCAGGTCGCTATATTTAACCGCATTGGCGAAACCTATACGCAATGGGAAGATCAACGTTTCCGACCTGGAGATATCTGCTGTGGATGTAAGCGAACTTCTGCACCTTGTTGTTCCCGACTAATGTACTCACCCTCTAGTTTTGCCGCTGTATCGTAAGTCTTTTTACCGTATCGTGAAAATACCATTTGCTAACACCAAGTAGATATCTATGGTCTAGTTTATAACGTGAGTTCCCGGACATTCTGAGTCTCAATCCGAGGAACTAATAAAGTGATATTTCAGCTTCACTTCATGTTGTATGCAGGGGTAAATTGGCTTATTTTGATGTCAAAATAAGTTTTCACTAACAAAAAGCTCGGAAGATGTCATTAGTCCTCGCTCCGAAGTTCCATTTTGAAAGTTTTTTGAAGAGTATTGAGCGATATCGCATGACACATTTAACGTTTGTAGTCCGATACCGCACTTCTCCCACTGCTAATGTATTAATCATCGAATTTTACAGAATCGTTCCGCCCCAAGCGGTCTTACTTTGCAAGGTTTGTCGCCGAACCGCCTTGTTCGAAATCAACTCATGGCGAGAATTGTAGCACCCGGCAGCGAAGAATTATACCCTTTCTAGTGTGAGATATTGCATCGTGGCGGCAGCTCCTCTTAGCGCATCTCTTACCAGAGGGCTTTTGAGAGCTTTACCCAATGTCGTGCATCTGGGTCAAGGATACGGTAATTCGGTTGCTGTAGACTAGGGCCTCGGTGTTCTAAATCGCGAGATTTCTAGGAATGACTGAAACCTGTGGGACCGTCAGCATGGTGAGTAATTTCTTTTGTGGACTCAGCTTCTGAATTCAGTCTGAGCTGATTGCTCAGTTCCCTTTATCTCAAAATGTCGGCACACTCGGTAGTGGTGGTCAGCTTCTTCCGGGCACTCTGGCGAAAGTGGTTAGAGAGGACGGAACGATCGCTCAAGTCGGGGATGTCGGGGAGCTCTACGTTCAAGGCGGTCAAGTTGCTCTCGGATATTACGGAGACGAGAGAGCGTGAGTATCCTTGTGTTCGAATGAAGTTGGACCGTTGCTGACGACCTTGAAATTTTAGTACTAAGGAAACATTCGTTGATGGGTTTGTCTTAGAATACCGAAGACATTCATTCATATAGCTCATTCAAACTTTGCAGGTGGCTTAGAACGGGAGATCAGGTCTTCTTCAAGGAGAATGGAGATATATTCATCGTAGAGCGAATTAAAGTAGGAGAAGCTCTTCTATATCTGGTCTTCATCACCATTACTCCGAGCTAAGCTTATTTTCTTGACAGGAACTCATCAAGGTGATCCTGCTTGGCTTCGTATTCCTCTAGATTGGCTGGGCTGATCAGTGATGATTGGTTCAGGTCAAAGGACTCCAAGTGGCCCCGGCAGAGCTTGAGGGACACCTTCTAATGCACCCTAGCATCGCAGATGTGGCGGTAATAGGTATTCCGGATGAATATGCTGGAGAAGTACCCATGGCTTTCGTGGTTCTTCAGCCAGGAGCTGCAACCTTGGTGGAGCACGATTCGAATTATGCAACCGAGCTTCAATCAAGTATTTTCCAGGTGCGGGTTCTCGAATTTTGAACATCTTTCTACCTACGTTAATTCTTTCATCAGCACGTTGTCGACGCGAAATCCAAACACAACTGGCTTAAAGGAGGTATTCGTTTCACCGATGTCATTCCTCGCAATGCCAGTGGCAAGATTTTGCGTCGTATTTTGAGAGAAAAAACCAGGAATCATGTTAGTGGGTTCAAGTTCTCACCGGCCTCACCATCGAGTATCTCTCAGGATCTATCCGTTGATATTTCTCCAGTTGCTGCCAAATTATAGCTTTGTTTTGGTTATCCGATTCTTGTATATATGTACTATGTACTACTAACCTAAGTAGTAGTGTGATATTGAAGGTACCATAGTTATTAAACAGTTACATATCATATTTCCGCGGAGTGTTGCTAATCTTACTTCAAACCATAAGTAGAAGTTGTAATTGTGCCATAAGTATGCAGTTAATTTCTCAAACCTGATGGCTGCAGTGCAGAGAACCGGGATCTTGAGAGGGGAGTTGACTTTCTACTTATGTAAATGACGAACTGCTTATCTTCACGATGTCAGATAAAAAATGTCATGATCGTCCGCGTCTACCTTTCCAAAGGTACGGATGATTCGGAGCTCGAACTAAGTTGACCATCGTCCGGCCTCGTTCGGTGCCGCCGCAGGAATCATTCGACGCTGTCAAGCTATGAATAATTCCAGCAAGAGCATCCGCGCGTTGCGGACCCTCTTGATCATTCGAAGTCAAGTTGGATGAATCAAGCAGACAACCAACAGGGTATAATTACACACAACATTATCATCACTAAGTATAAGTCGAAATAAATAATGAAGCATTCCAATTCCCAGAAGAACCTAACACATCAAATCGGAGGCCCAGCCAGTGGACACGACCCGTCGTTGGTGTCTATATACGGCATATGTGCTGTATGAGACGAAAAAACTCCAGAAATCTGGGCACATACCTACCACCATGAGTCTAGAGCTTCGGCTCAGAGAACTGCAAAAATTCACTATTGCGAATATATTCCGTAGTGCCGTCATTCCTCAGGTGAGGTGAGTAGCGAGAAAGAGGCATGCGAAGAATGTGATTGTTGCCGCGATTCTTCTGCGAGATGGTGTACCGAAGGGTGATGTACGCTGTCAAGGAGACTAATGAAGGTTCAGTCATCGACGTGATCAGGCGGGGGTCGGATATGTAGCGTACAGATCAACCACTCTATCCAGACGAATGCTTTCAAGGCCTGAACATCCTGACACCAAGTTTTGACGTCGTCAGATCCTGGGGCAATGTTAGAGGAAGGTACGGAGTGTTGAAATCGGTAGCAAACCGGTAGGGCAGGCCATAGGGACATGGCGCCAACGAGATGTAGAAAAAGCGTTGAATGCTGACAACACCGGATGAGCGAACTATATCGGTTCACAAAGAGCACCCTACACAGCCAAAATATAGAAAGAACAGCGAAGACGCCAATTTCGAACTGGGGCCGACCGGTGTACGAGTTTTTGCAGATAAAGTCGAGAGCCAACCTGCGTCCAGGATTTCAATCATCAGGGCGCGCGAGTGCAACAAGAAAATCATACATTACACTGAGGATAACCATGGTAGTAATGGATAATCCAAGTGGGAATAGATCCGCAGCAACTGTTGGGTTTAATCAGACTACAATATTTCGTTCAAACGGTATAGTCGCTCACAAAAGAATTCTTGGAACAAGTTCACGCGCGCGGAAAGGGCGAGTACAACGATGTTTACCCAGTAAAGCGCGACTGCAAGCATCTGGTTACCCACAAATGATTCGACACCAAGAGTTCTGGCACGTACCATGCGCTCCGACCTTTTTTTTCCCCACAGAAGAGAAGCCGAACATCATGGAGACAGAAATATTTGAAGGAAAGTTGATTTGAAAGAAAGAGATTGAAGCTGGAAGCAAAATAGTAGAGAAGAGCAATCCACAGCGCACAGCGAAGGCGGCTTGATCAAATCTGGATGGAAAGATGCAGAAAGATGTAGCCTTGACAACCTGAAGCAGCCGGAGGCCCGGCGGTATTTACAGCTTTGACCGCATCAACCAAAAATCGTTGAACACAAATATATTCTGAACAACAACTATGCTTCACTGAGGCATCCCTTATAGTTTCAAGTCATTATACCTACAATTGCATACATGGCATTACGCCGTGGCGATTCTCTTCATACTACCGTCAATTGACCGGAGGTTATCGATTATCCACTATAATCCATCTTAATTATAAGCAGATCCGCATCCACTGCTAGGTGAACAGTACCTCAAAGCTCGAGTACACCAGCTGACGCCAGCACCGAGGCTGTTGAACGTTGATAATGCAATCACGTATATCGACCCGTCGACTATGTGTCTCAGTCTCCTCCAGTCTCCTACAATGTTCCTAATTTGTCACTTCGTTGTGCTTTCCTTTGCTAGACATGCAACTTCGGCATTTGAACTATAAGTAGCCTTGGGATAGATTAAGCTTTCCGCTGAAATATTATCGTGAGCGTTAATAACATGGCGCGTCTTTTAACGCCCGGGTACATCGTTTCAACGCATCCAGCGCCCATGGCCGCTTGTTGAAGGGGGAATCGGTGATTTGGAGCCCTTCTCTCTCGACAAGAACAACGAGAGCCAAAAATATGGTATACCACAATCGTTTTGTCTTTTGCCTTGCGAAGACCAGCAAGGGATTTCCCCCGCCATCCGCATAGCCTTCCTTTACAACTTCTGACGGTGCGGGTGGGAGAAAGAAAGTTTCGAGGAGCGGATCTCCCCAAAGAGAATGAGCAAGAGTCGGAACTATGGCCGCTATTTGGATAGAAGGAGAGGTGTCCCTGGGACGCGTAATATAAATATCATCCTCTGAGCCAGTGAACCAAATCAGAGAGGGAACTTCTACGTCTTCAAAGAGAAAAGCCGCAATAGCCCGAGCTAGATATGTCTGGATATCCTTGTAGGGTGCTCCAAGATCAATGTCCGAGTCGTGTGCATACTCAAGAAGGGGCTCAAGGAGTGCAACAAAGGTGTCTTGCCAGCTGTAGGATGGTTCGACTGGCTGAGAGATGCTCGGAGGACCAAACCAATCGTTCTGTACTCCAGAATGAAGCTGTCCCAAGAACTGACCTAAAGTACGGTCTATGAAAGCTTCTTGAGGTGCTGTTAGAAGATTTTGAGATCGGGCAGCAGAGATAGTGATGATTGAGTTTGATCGGAGTGGTTGGGGAGGTGTAAGAAGATATGGATACGAAATGACGCTCAAAGTTGTGTCTAGGATGGGTTCGGGTATGGGGACGGATGTCCCTTTGTGAATCATCGTGATGAGCTGCGCGAAGATATGAAGTGAGTTAGAAGGGAAAGCAGAGGTAAGATTTTCTGCCGCAGTTAAAATAGTGATGAAGGAGGTATGTGTCGAGGTACCATCAGCGGATGACGCTAGATCGAGGATGTAGGTTGTGTGAATCCGGGTACGACTGCAGAGGTCGTGAGCAAGGAGTGCAGAGGACATTGGCTGCAGAGACTAGCCTGTATGAGTCTATATTCTCAACTTCCGATATGCCGACAACGTGCCAAAGCTGGGATTTAGAGAAGGTCTTCACGATTACTTTCTGCGCTTCCTCCACGGTGATCGTCATTTTGAAAGGGGTTTAGGATGAGCTTCAGTTCCCCCAAGCAACAGCGAGGCTGAGATATTAGGGATCAGATTAGAATAGATGTTGGGAGAAGCTCACATCAATGGGTCGGAATCACAGACGGAATCAAGTACTTACAGTACATAAGCGCCGATACACTTGGCGCCTAAATCAAAATAGCACACGGCGCGCACGGACCAATTCATACTACAATAGCTACTAGCATCGACATTTGCTCTTATAAATAACTTATTACTCGCTCCCAGCTAGTCTCAGCACTCCTGACTACCAACATTTTGAAATCGGACCGTTTCAACAAACTTCGGAGGTCCAGATCGCAGTATATCTTGGTAATCCTACTCTAGTCGGCCCTCTTTGAACATCTGCTGACCGTTACCATGTGCAGATACTGACAGCAAAGCCATAACAGTTGACGGCACACCTCATCTTCCAATCCTTGGATGTATCTTCGGATTCACCCAAGATCAGCAGTTAGCCGAAGCAAACCGTCAAACCGTGTAGAGAAGCATGGGGCAGGTTATAATGACGAAACTACAAGCTTTGAGGGATGCATTTACCCTTTGGCTTCTTCCTGACAGCACCTCCTCATTATCGTCCTCCTTCTACCAATTCAGCATGAAACTCAAGACCTTGGGCACTAGTGCTGTGATTCCAGCCGTCGTTCTTACCTCTGCAGCACCCCCGGGTTTCCCTGCGACTGGAAATGGACTCTGGTATAACACCCCTGCAGATTTCTGGTCGAAGTCATATCTACCAGTTGGCAATGGTTACTTGGCAGGTGCATACAAGCACAGATGAATAATTGATAACTCCACTAAGTAAACTCTACTAGCTATGTCTCCTGGGGGAATGTCTGTCGAAACAACTCAGCTGAACATTGAGTCATTATGGAGTGGAGGTCCGTTCCAAGATCCGGTGAGCATCATCATCCAAACCCCCGAAGATCACAGTTGAGGATTGAATGGTGAAGACTTATAACGGCGGAAATATGCAACCATCCGGAGCCTCAGCTGCTCATGTAGCCATGGAGTCAATCCGCGCCAGCATCTTTGCCAATTCGACGGGAGAGATAGACAGTGAGTAAATGCATATATATACTGGTGGTTGAGATACTCGAATCGGCATATAGATATCGAGGTTTTGACTACGGACGCTGGTGCTTATGGTATGATTCATTCTTCCCCTCAAGTCTCATTCTAATCTATCACCTTATAGGTTCCTACGTTGGAGCTGGTTATATCATATCTTCAATCAATGTATCTGGCCCTGTGACTGACTTTGCGCGCTGGCTGGACTTGGACGAAGGCGTCGCACGATCTACATGGACACAGTCCAATCAAACTTTCATCAGGTAGGTGCATGCCCCTCGAATTCACTGCCCGCTTGTCACTGAATGAAACCATTAGAGAAACATTCTGCTCTCACCCTTCTGAAGCCTGCATCCACCACATCAATTCCACCTCCAATGCCACTTTACCGAATATCACTTATGCATGGGCTCTGTTGGATTCCGGGCTGCCGACACCGAACATAACCTGTCTTGACTCCAGCACTTTACAAATACGCGGTCTTGCTGGCGAGCCTGGTATGCTTTATGAGATACTCGGACAAGTTCATTCAACCTCCGGATCTGTCTCTTGTATCTCGCTAAGTCCCACGAATTCCACCGTCACCGTTGGGGGTGCCGTCGAAACATGGATATCTTGGGTAGGGGGGACTGAATACTCCATGGACGCTGGTAACGCCGAGAACAACTTTTCTTTCAAAGGTGTCGATCCGCACGCGGCTTTGACTTCTCTCCTTAGTTCGGCTACGACAAGTTCATATTCGGATACTCTTACCACCCATATCGCTGACATCAATAGCACTCTCTATGGTCAATTTTCGCTGTCACTAGGCCAAACACCGCAACTCGATCTTCCGACTGACCAGATTCGTGCGGCGTATCAGGTCGATGAAGGGAATTCCTATTTAGAATGGGTCGCATTCAATTTGGGACGTTACATGCTTGCGAGCAGTGCTAGGGGCACCTTACCCGCGAACTTGCAGGGTAAATGGGCTAAGGATGTTAATAGTCCTTGGGGAGCTGGCAAGTGATCAATAATAGCCTTGCGAATTGCACGGAATACGCATTGTACTGACTGACTGCTTGTCATTCCTGACGCATAGATTATCGTGAGTTATCGTCCGATATCCGAGTTTGAGTCGCAAGCAGGGTGCTCACGAAACAAACACGAAACAAAAATTGATGTAGATTCAAACATTAACATTCAAATGAACTATTGGAGCGCTGAAATGAGCAACCTCAACGTCGCGGGATCGTTGTTCGATTACATAGAGGTCAGTGTTAGCCTATAGGAGTTTGTGTATGGATGCTTTGATTCAATGTTCTTTTACTTTTGCAGAAAACCTGGGCTCCCAGAGGCGCTACTACAGCGCAGATATTATACAATATTTCTCGGGGCTGGGTTACGCATGACGAAGTGAGTGGTAGTAGTAATACATGCGTTTGGTCTCGACGGTTCGACTGGACATTGTTGTCTGATATAAATATGTAGATGAACGTAAGTCGTTCTCAAAACTCTTCGTATACATGACTGACATACATATCTTTTAGATCTTCGGGCATACAGGCATGAAAGGAGGCGGGAATACAGCTCAATGGGCGGATTATCCTGGTTAGTAGTCGATGTGACTCTTTTCTTAACTTCTTGTGTGTTTGAATTGGATTAATACCGAATAGAATCTGCGGTTTGGATGGTACGTTTAATCAACGACAACACCTCCTAAATACAGAAGGCTTGATTGAACGTCGTTCTAGATGCTCCACGTTTGGGATCGATTCGACTACTCAAACGATGTCGACTGGTGGATTGCTCAAGGATGGCCGCTTCTCAAGGTTACTATACACCCCACCTCTCCGTGCAACTAGGAAGCCACTGATTAGGTGATCTCGAGCAGAGTGTAGCGTCTTTCCATCTGGATAAACTCATCCCGGATGAGCATTTCAACGACGGAACGCTCGTGGTGGCGCCGTGTAATTCTCCTGAGCAGGTTCCTATCACTTTGGGTGTGTTAATATGTCAAAAACTAATGTATATATACGGGCATTGACTTACCTTTGTCTTGTCTCACTCACTCACTCACTCCCTTCTCTCTTTATGTCTCTCTCTCTCTCTCTCTCTGTGGTTCTTTCATAGCCTGTGCTCATGCCCAGCAACTAATATGGCAATTGTTCAACGCCGTGGAGAAGGGTTTCAACGCTTCTGGAGATACTGACACTGCGTTCCTTGAAGGTGAGAGTCAATTCCGAATGATTGCCATTTTTTTCTTTGTGTTGAACCTTATGACAGAGGTTCAGACTAAACGTGCTCAAATGGATAAAGGTATCCGTATCGGCTGGTGGGGTCAACTCCAAGGTCGGGTTCAAATATTGTTACTATGTATTACCTTGTCCATGTCGTTCTGACCCCCCTACCACCTACCACTAGAATGGAAAGTCGACCTTGACTCGCCAACGGACACACATCGTCATCGTATGTTTTTCTCCCCCACTCATACTTTACCAATCGCCGCTCATCGTTTTCCAACCTACTATCCCCCTCATCCCCGCAGTATCTCATTTAATCGGACTATACCCAGGGTACGCCATCACCTCGTACAGCTCTGACCTACAAGGTGGAGTTTTAGTCAATGGCACAAATATCACGTATACCAAGGACCAGGTGATAGCTGCTGCGACGACGAGTTTGATCCATCGCGGAAACGGGACGGGGCCAGACGCAGATGCTGGGTGGGAAAAAGCGTGGAGAGCGGCGTGTTGGGCACAGTTGGGAAACGCGGAAGAGTTTTATCATGAGTTGACTGTAAGTCAAGTAACCCATTCTCGTTGTTCAGAGTTATTTTCAGAGTTCAGAGAAATCCCGTGTGGCTGATGAAACAAAAAAACAGTATACGATTTATGAAGACTTTGGACCGAACCTGTTTAGCTTGTATGATCCAGGAGATATCGACCCGATTTTCCAGATCGATTCAAACCTTGGGTTTCCTGGTGCTCTTCTCGTACGTCACTTTTAACCATCAATTCAACACTTTTTTCTTTTCTTTCTTGGAATTATCCCCTCACTCCGGTTTCTTTTTCTGTGGGCTAGAACGCGCTTCTACAAGCCCCCGACGTCGCATCGCTCGACACCCCACTAACCATCACTCTCCTTCCCGCCCTTCCCCCTTCGTGGCCTTCAGGACATCTCAGGGGCGCGCGTACAAGGGGAGGAATAACAGTGGATACATTAGAATGGGACGATCAAGGCGAACCGACGGTGGTGGTGTTTTCCGTGGATCCTAATCCGATATCACCAAAGAGAAATGTGGAGGTGGTGTACAATGGGGAGAGAGTTGGGTCGTTTGTGATGGATGGGGGTGCGAGGATACAGATTGAACAGTTTTAAATGACACCATCCCCGGGTCTCCATCGTTATGATATGTATGATATGTATGTAAGGTATAGGTTTTCAAATAAATCATGGAACTGACAGTGGACAGTGACGAAGTCTCAAATGCACTTAAATTACATGGGGGCCGGCAGCCAAGTTTTGTAAAGTTGTAAAACACGGTACTCAAGTTACCTGAACGAATATGGACAGTTCGAGCTATGGCACAGGGTCTTTAATTTCCACCTCCTCATACGAGTCTTCTTTCACTGGTTGCATTATCTTGATTGGGTGCGACGACCCGTTCTCTAGACTGCTCTAACCAATTTCTCAACGATTTGTCACGTTCCCAGCTGTGTACATTACTTGAACTATCCACTCAGTTGGGCGAAAGTGTACTATCGGCGGAGAGGTGCGTTGCTATAATGTTATCACCAATGTTCTGTTGAATGCTCCGACAAAAAATTACTCTATGTATACACAGAATTCCACAGACGAACCTTGCTGCGTCGTTCTAATCATTTCGGTGGTCATTACCATCTATTGAAGACTAACTCGTATCATTGAACCCTCTGACAATTGACAATCACAACTTGCCCAGCCCTGGATAACAGGTTCTCTTGCCATGTTTGAGTTATTCAACATTCCAAGTCTCTTCCCCAGACCTTAACGCGTAATGATTGATCCCTCTCATTCCAAAGTTCCTGTTGTTCAATATAGAGGCTGCAAAGAAGTGCAATTGAGAACAAAGTGAGATTGAAAAATGAAAATTTCTGAAGAGATTTGAAAACCACCCTTGAAACTATGTAAAATCATCTTTTTTCATTACTATCTTTTTTATTGTGCCTAAATACTCTGACGTGACTATTTTCTCTATCAAATCGATCTGAATCCTAAAACGAAAAGCAGAGGTGCTCCCAGATCATGTAAGTACAAGTGATAAGCAAGAGATTTTGGGTACCATCCTTTAACATACACCTCCAATCCAATCCTCCTCATTCTCTTCATCTTCTCGCAAATCTTCCCAACTTTCTTCCTCTCCCTTCTCGTTTAAGTCATCTGAGTCAGTTGCATCATCTTCCACACCTACACCTCTATAATGAAGCAAATTCGGGAACGGTCCATGAAGGTGCTGTTTGTAACCCAGAAAAAATAGGTAAATAGCAAAAAAAACAACAACAAAGCAACGAGACAAAAAAAAAAAAGAAAATAAAAGAAAATAAATAAATAAATCAGTAAAAAAACCACAACAATATAAAACGAGCGTAGGACTCACGAATCGATACATGCCCTGCATCCTCATCCTCATGAAGCATTTACCTTCCACCGTCTCTCTTCTCTCCTTATCACTCCCCATCCAAGCCTCCCACAACCCACGTCCCCTCCCTTCCCTCTCCTCTCTCCCAACAACTTCCCCAAAACACACTCTCACCACCTCCCACCCGGTGCCATCGTAGTGTAACTCCAAGACACGGATAAGCTGCTGCAAGTGATTATGAATCAGGGTATGGTAGAGCCGGGTGTATACCTCCTCAAGGGAGGGGGCGAGGATGCTGTGTCCTGCTAATGCGATTTCGGACTCGAATTGGGTTAGCTTGCCATTTGGATCCTCGGACGCGGAATCAGAGGAGCTTGAGGTTGAGAGAGAAGATATGAGGGTAGCCTCGTGGACTCGGATTCCCCCGAAGTCCCGTATGACGAACCCGAGCAACTCCCCTGTCGCCACATCGAACCGCGCGAGACAGTTCTGGGGGTGGGCTTCGAAGGCAACGCCGTGGTGGATTGCGGGAGGGAGAAAGGCGCGGAAGAGGAGGGTGGTGTAGGACGTGAGGAATGTGAGTTTGGTTTGTTTGGTGGGGAGGGGGAGGATTCGGAGTAGGGCTGGGTCAGAGGAAGAGGGGGAGTGCCCGGTTTCTACTAAAGCCGTGCATACGATCAACCTCTCACCAACGTTGGCTTCATAGTCCACATCGTGTGCCTCACGCACGATTGCGGCGCAGAATTTAGCGATATCGGGGTCGGGGTGGGTAGATACGACGGAGGCGAGTTCTTTGGCGACGGTGAGGATAGAGGGGTCGATGGCTTTGATGGGGCTACCCTGTTTGTTACCTGTACCCTCACCCGTTGCATTACCGTTGCCCAGACCATTGCCTGTAACGGTACCCTTGGTATTACCAGCTGTTATACGTGGAATAACATGCTTGGAGAACCTTGGTCCTAGGAAGGCCGAAGCAGGGGAGATGGTGCGGATTGCAGAGGTGAGCTTGATGCCGACGCTGAGTTTAAGGGCGAGGGGAACTGAGGGACCGGAGGAACCGGAGGGGGAAGAGAACGAGAGATGGGAAGGGGAAGAGGAAGAGGAAGAAGAGGAGAAGGAAGGAAGAATGACGGAACGAATACTCTGTTGAGCTTGAAGCGGGAGTTTGAATTGTTCAGGGTAGATGAGTGCATCAGGGAACTTTTCCTCGATATGAGGGATTTGGAGTTCGTGGATTGGGATAACGAGGTGGGAGGGGGGGATAGACATTTCACCTGTGGGTGTGAGGAATTTTTGGACTTGGTCAGACGCAGCAGCGGCGGCGGCGGCAGCTTCAGCAGCACTCCGTCTCAGCGGGTCAGTGAGTTCCTCAAAGTCATATGTTATATGTAAACTCGATTTTGGGAGGGCAATGAACCGGAGTTGAGGGTTATACAAATCATACGTGTCGTCGTCGGTGATATCCCGCATCGGAGGGAGGAACATACGGGTTTTGTGCATTGGATGGGTTGGGTGGCCTTCGACAATGGATTGTTCCCATTCGATGCTTGGAGAGGAAGGGAATGTTGGTGCTTTGGGTGGGTGGAGGTAGGAGTGTTCTGGATATACCATTAGTTCCAGTTAAAATAATATAGGATGGTTGTTTAACGTACGTTGCCATTTAACGGAACTTTGAAACTCTTCAGCGATGTCAATGATGGTGGACTCCTCGACTCCGGCAAAGCCCGATGCGAAATCGCGCCAGAGGACAAGAGGATCTGGGGATGACACGAGGGTTATTTGTTCAGTGGGGAATTGCCATCCGGAAGAGGAGGAGAGTGTGGATAGAATTGACTTGGATAGACTATCAGCCACTCCTCCTTCTGCTTCCCCAGAATCAGCCCGAACCTTCAGCGGAGCGGCACGAATCATATCCATTGGATCCAGCAGGCCAATCTCCTGTCCCCGCAGATCCGTACCATCGTGTTTGAATACCGGAACGTGGGCGAGCAAAACTATTGCTAGGACATCGGAAGATAATATATATGGTTCATTGAGGGATCGTGGTGGTTGAGAGGATAAGGTGCCGGATAGGAGGACACAGAATCCTGTTATACCACCAGGACTTGGTGGAGTCGGGAGAGGAAACTTGTAGTACAGGGCTCTGGAGAGAGATTCGGTGACGAGACAGGATACTAAACGCGACGACGTGGCAAATTGAGCTTTGGTAAATGGATCCATCGATGAGAAGAGATAGATGACTGGGGAGGTATTCAACCTGAATGATTATATATCGGAATTTCGGTGCCGGCAGCGGTAAGCACTGGGTCGGTGTTCCTGAGCTCCTGCAATGCGTGAATCAGCGTGCTGTCATTGGGCGATTTCTTGTCACGTTGTCAGTTGTGCGATATTGTCCCTCGTTATGCGAACGCGATTGAGGATTTCTGAGGATTTGGGGGAATTGTAAGGAACTTTGTGGAACGGCGGTTTACACAGATTCATACACTCTGAACGACCGTGATACCAAGGCTTCAGATACAAGGAGCCAGGGTTCCTTGTGATAGATGAGAAGAGATGAGAGCGGCCCAGGGGGTTATGGAGAGAGAGGCATATTTTACCTATGGACTGAAGACTTCCAGTGTACCAAAATACATCAATGCATACTATCACAACGTCCGGACGACTTGTTTCTCCTGGCGCGTTCCAGATCCTGAGAGGTATAATCAAACAATGAATATTGAATGACTGGGTTGTTATTGGGCAAAAATTGACACGTTGTGCGATTGCGAACAGTAGCAGGAATTTCTGGAACTTTAAGGAACGGTTTACACAGCTATGTGTATTTTCAAGGCTTCAGATACAGGTCTATGTATCCACGTCCGAGTGCGCGTTCCCTGTGAGCGATGGATGAGAGTGTGAGCTGCAAACTTGGAATCAAAAGGTGCGTATTACTGCGTAAAATATCATATTCCCCCGTTATATGCTGTTATATGCTGCTAACCAATTACAGGGATATATCCCACGGACGAACGAGGCTGACATCCCAGTTTATTCGAATCAACGACCATTTTCTGGTAGTATACGACTTGGTCAATGCTAATTACAGCATATATTCCACGCTCGAACTTGGCTGCTACGGCGATGGAATCTTCAGTGTCGCCTCACGTTCAACGTTCACCTATTGACTGGAAGACTTTCGGTAACCTTGTTACAATCATAAGGCCCGGATGACCTCTTTCTCGATGCGTTCAACAACATTCCAGGCTATCCCCAAGCTCTCTCTCTCTTCCGTCGTCGTCGTCGTCCTCCTCACTCTTCCACCAGCTACACCATCTACACCCTGCGTGGATGTATCGATACTATTCAAAGCTGTAATGCTGTGTGGACGAGTTGGCCACTGCTACTGTACTCAGCTACAAAAAGCTAGAGAGCAGTAATTAGACATTAGACCGTGCGTTACAATATCGTTTACATTGCGTTTCGAATCTCTGAGCTACTTCACAAGATATCCTGAATGAAGTTGCTGCGTATGTCGGTGTACTTATTTCGATAAATCAATTCACGAGGCCCTGACACCAACCGTTGTTTCTTGGCGCATTCTGTTCTTTCATCAAACATGAACATTCCCAACTTTCCACTGGCTATTCGTGTCTTGCGTAAGTGGATCGGCCGTGTGCTATTACTTAGACCATCCACTTAGTGAAGTCAGCGCGTTCTGTTCGTTCGTCTCCTACGAGTCCTCCTCCACTGGTTGTAGCATCTTGATTGGGTGCGACGATTTTGCTTTTCAATTGCTTGGAGGGGAATAATATCGAGGTTCAACGAAGTCTCGCGCGCAGTATCCCACCGCAAATGACTCTGAACTTGGTCTTTACTACGGTGGAGAATATACACAGAGTAGTCTCAGTATGTTTTCATGACACCCCATTCCCCATGATCGAGATGTACAAAATGCTTCGTTAACCCCTGACCATAATTCCACCACTGGAATGCAAACGCTGTTGTTGTAGGGTCGGCACCACTATCCCAGTTTAGTTTGGAAAACTGGATTTGAGCGGGAGTAACGGGCTTTTCGATAAATTGTTCTACTTTGCCATTGAGATGAGCAGCAATACGTGCTCTGACAGGTCAAAGCTTCTCACAGGGAACGGCGCAGCATGGATGACATGGATGACAGTGAGAAGCCCGATGACTAGGTACAATGAACGAAAATGCATTTCCGAACGGATTCAAAGTTTTTTTGGGGGGACGGACTGCGGATTAGGACTAGGACAACTCTGGGAGGACTGACCAGCAGTTCTCTTGGTTGGGGGGGAGGAATCAACTTCAACTCCTTGCCTTGAGTGTTTTTCCAATGTAGATCTTTATGCATAATACATATGCGTTTGATCGTTTCGCTTCCGTACCCTTCCGTCAGTCTGCACCAGTGATGGAATACCGACGGCGAGTTGGCGGCGTGGTTGTTGGTACGTGTGTTTGATGTCATTATCAATAATACATTGCGTTTATCAACGCGTAGATCTCCGCTGGTTGAACAAGACTGAAACCGTCCCGCAGCTTCCACAGGTGACGGCTTGCGGCAGGAGGGTATCACCAGGGCACGCCTTGTAAGTATCATGAGGTATCATGCAACGTATTGTGACATTTGAGCAGTTTACATCAAGCCTCCGTCGGCCTGGATAGATAGATATGGCTCCATACAGATGGGGTCCCACTAGGGAACAGCTGGGTCCAACCGCCTCTACTGAGTAGTATACATCCTCAAACAGCCTCAAACCTGCTCGCCGCTCGAGCCTGTCGCGTACACCTCGCTATGTATTCCTCTTATACCAGCCTACATGAACTCCGGGAGCCATCACCGTAAACCTTGATATCTTCATTGATGTTAATGTCTCGTGTGAAACGCCAAAGCACAAACTGCTCAGGACAGCTCAGGATAACGGATCCAATAGATACTCATTAAAGTACTCATTGATGGATTTCTCATGGATAATCTCTGATAATCTAGGTTATCGTTCACAGCATACATACATAAATGGGCCGATAAAACTAGGGCAAATCATAACGCTGGTTCGGTACGTCGATTATCTTTCTTTCCTCTAGACCTAGTACTTTGTCATTCTTCAAATATTCCCGCTACATTCTCTCTCCTCGCTTCAAACACAACGTCTACACCTACTAACTGAACACTTGTCAATATACATATCCCCGCACTTTGTCTTCGCTGTCCTGTCTCTTTGCTGATGCTGACCTCACACGAATTTTGCTTCCCAGTGAACATATTTCATTGTCTTTGGGTTAAATCTGCTGGTCAAATTTTTCCCTCGAGTTCTTCAGCACATTGGTGAGCAGTCTAGCTTGTGTCTTCAAGTTTGCTACCTGTCGAGGCTGACAATGAATGATTGAATTGGCAGCGACTTGCCTTATACCAAACCTCTCGGAACACAATCCAATGCGCTTCAACCCTGTCTACCTTG